ATATACATCATATCATTACCATTAAAAATAGAGATGATATGATTTTTTGAAAATTTGACGTTATTTTGTTTTTGCAAATTTGACAGTGTTTTCTTTAGTACCGTTTTTCAGGCAATTTTATTAATATTATCATACAGTTTTTATATCATATCATAAACTAGAGTCTTCAAGCTTTAATTTAATATATACATCATATCATTACCATTAAAAATAGAGATGATATGATTTTTTGAAAATTTGACGTTATTTTGTTTTTGCAAAAAAATGTTATTATATCCAAGAAGCCCATTGCTTTACCCCTCAACCTGGAAGACCAGGTTCGATTCATAATTGATGAACTAATAAATCGAATTAAAATAGATAAAGTACAACCCTTAGCTCTAATCTCTAATTTCGCCATCAAATCGATTGTCTTATTGTTAATCACAAACTCAACTTTGTTTTTTATTTGGTCATCACTAACATGAATTAAGAAAACGAATCATTTTTTCCCAATATTACTCAAATAATTATTTCTTTCTAATTTATTGTAATGAAATATTTCGCAACATTCTGTTGTTGATATTACTCTCAACATGTTTCGCAACAAAAAATATTTTACCACATTACGGATATTTAAATTAACCGGATATTAAATTTATAGAAAACTCGTCTTGATGTAGTAAAATAAACCGCGATAAGAAAGCGCACTTTAATGAATTATTTATGAATGAATTTAAAGTTGCGTAAAATTTTACCAAGAAGTTAAGCTGTGTCAATGACGTCTACTATGATGAAGAATCGTCTATATATTGAAATGGATACCACTAAATCGCCGCATTTCGTTCTTTAACTTCGATAGACCCACTTAAAATTTAAATAATAGTCATGGAGTATAAAATCGTTTTTTATATCATTTCTTTTTTGAGCTTACAAATTATTGTTAGTTCATCATTTCAATCTGATGGAAATAAAACGAACTTTATGGTAAGATATTATTTAAGGATCTAATTATTTTTATTATATTGTTTTTTTTAGAAATTTAGGGATGTTTTACGCAATTACAACAAATATATAAAGTCACCACCTCCAGGTGTTGTAATGATTAGCACCAGAGATGCAATTGATATTAAAGCTAGAAGAGTAAGTTAATAAGTCGATTGAGAAATACTTTTTTAATAAAAATTTTTTGTTATAGGTTGAACCTCAAGGGCTTATTGTACTTAGATGTCCCACACATATAGATATTGGCGGTAAAAAACGAAAATGCGTAGCAACGAGAGAAGAAGTGAAGATGGGGGTTTTAATTGTTGATACTAAAGAATTTGTAGAAGCAAAAACTTATAATGAAGTGAAATGTTCATGTAGGGAGAGAAAAAAATAAGAAATTATGTGATATAATCGTAGCTTTGATAATTAAGCCATAAAATGTTTGTGATATCTTAATTTATTTCTATTTATTACGTCTGTTTAATATTTTTGATTTTTATAAATAAAAAAATAATTTAAATCAATCTTATTCTATGAATCACGAGTACATTTTTTAGAAATCCCTTTTTAATGCAAACAAATTACTAAATATTTGTATTTCTCACGGATTCATTATTTAACCTGACTCATTTTTTGATTCACTTATTTAAAACTTGCACATTTGAAATTTATGAATTCAAATTATGAATCACCATCATCCCAACTTTACTATAATAACCCAATTCAATTTAATAGATCAATTTCCTCCGAGAAATCTACGAGCGACAATGAACTTGAATGTGTCAACATTTATTTTTATCTTTAGCAACTCCCAACGATTCGATTTGTTAACACACGTGAAAGTGCGAATGACTAAAACATTCCACAATTGGGGTTTTACTTCTATTTCAAAAATAAAAATCTTATTTAAAAGCATTAACATTATTTTAACAATAAAGTGCAATGCTCTTTTAATATTTATATTTGTATTTTTTTTTTTGTTGATTCATTGATGACGTGAAATCGAATACATTTTAAAAGAAATTAGGAAATCAGTGATCTAATTTCCGGAATTTACGAAAATATTTCGCTGTTTATATACGCACATGTTGTATAATTAGATTGGAATTTCTTTATTCGAATTATTCGAACAATTTAGTATAAATAAATTAAAAAATTAATTTCGAAAACAATCTAATTTTGACGTCAATAAACCAACAAAATTAATTCCACTCCGTCAATTATTTTTTACGATATGAGTCAAAAGTGCATTATGAAACTGTGGTTTGTAAATGTTATAACATTTGGTGATACACCAGCTCTTTAATATTCGCTTGAGGTAAACGGGAAAACACCGATAATAGAATAAATTACTTGGAATTTCATTGTGGACCTTGACAAAGAAGAGAAAAATAATTCTAATTGATTGAAATTAACGAAGTTATTTGCAGTATTTTTCACGATTATATTGATAAAAAGAATAATAAGAAATAAGATAAAGTCAAAACTACCGAGAAATATCAATGTTATATACGAGATATCATATTAATAGATCTCGCCAAAGTCAGGTTTAACAAGGGTGGGAAATTGAAGAGTAAAAATACCTCGCTGAAAGACACCAGACGGTAAGGACCCTTGCCAGGATATGATAAAGTTGCTGTCTTGTAGTTAGATGTTAGCTCATCATAGGGTAGAGGAAGGAAACCTTGATCAAAAATTACTTGATCCTCTAGGTTGGGATTTGAAATAATTCCTTATTATTTGGAGAAAACGTAAATTAACAAATAATCTTGGCAACTGACCCTCAGAAAATCCAATATTGCAACTCTTACGGAAACTAAGAAGAAAGGATTACCAACAAACTCCAATAATAAAATTACACAATAAGTTATTATGCAATAAGTCATTATTTTTTCTTCTTGCCACGAACGCATTGGAAACGTAGATGTAAAACAAAAATGATCGATGTTTTTGAGATGTGGATAAGGCATTTGAGAGTGTCCTATATGGAGCATTACAAAACTTTCAATATTGAACGAATTAACGATTAAAAACATATTGATCAAGCTGATTAATAAATCATATCTTATCTGCTTTAGACACCTAGCAAGCAAAACTTGGCATTTGAGAGTGTCCTATATGGAGCATTACAAAACTTTCAATATTGAACGAATTAAAGATTAAAAACATATTGATCAAGCTGATTAATAAATCATATCTTATCTGCTTTAGACACCTAGCAAGCAAAAACTTTTCAAATGGAAAATCTTGTTATAGCAAAAAAGCATGATTCGATGTGCAGACAGGTTGAGGAAATGGACAGGACACCCGATTGACTAGGAAATATAGATGGCGCAAGACCGGGACCAGTTTTATCAAAAAGTTACAGATTTACTTACAAAAGCCGGTGATCAACGAAAATACATTCTCGTGGGCGACTTTAATGCCAGATGTGTATTTTTTCATTACTTGAAAAAGTGTACAGGATAAAGGATAAACGATAGATGAAAGTATAGCAAGTATTAAAGGTGTCAAAGCAATTAATACAATTAAATAATTATACAAACAGTCACATGCTTTTTTCAACACTGTTTAAAATTTATCTGCAATACTGAATACACCCCATAGATGACAACACTATTGTTCTATCTATAGGCTTACCATGCTGATGACCAGTCATTTTACACGATAAAGCGCATCTGAAATTTATGTCAGACACTTTTCAACAAAAATGAAAAGTGGGGTTTTTCTTATAGTACAAGTTAACAAGACTAAATATATGTATAGCAAGAAATGCTAACAATAAAAATTAATAATAAGTGTTTTATATGTATATATTATAAAAGATAGGGTGATTTATTAGCTCACCACCAAACTTTGACGAAATTATAACACTTTAAAGTTTTAATGTTTACATCATAATTAAATAAATTAAAAACTGCACTTAAACGATGATATTTATTGTAAATAGCTTAGTTTTTTACCGGTTTCGACTGTACAACAGTCATCCTCAGGAAAACGACCTGTTTGAAACAAGAATTACATTATTAGTATTACATTTAAGTAGTGTAAAAATGTAATCCTTGCTTCAAACAGGTCGTTTTCCTGAGGATGACTGTTGTACAGTCGAAACCGGTAGAAAACTAAGCTATTTACAATAAATATCATCGTTTAAGTGCAGTTTTTAATTTATTTAATTCACACGATGATAAGAAAAATACACAGCTCCAACTATATCATAATTAACTGCTACGTTTTTTTAAAAACACATAAATGTTACAAATATTGTTCAAAATAGCCTCCTTTTGCTAGAATACATACTTCACAACGACGAATTAAAGAGTTCTTCAGCCAAATTAAAATGTCTGGTTGATTTCTTATTTCAGTAGCAGCCATTTGTATTCTGTTTAATAACTGTTCTCGTGCTATACGTGCTATATTCAGTGCTATAAGCGTACATTTTGAGTTTCTTCTTGTATGTAATAATTAAACCTTACAGCAAACTGACATATTACAATGACAATTTTGTTTTTGTTGAATGTTTGATTTTACTGACTATTAATAAATTCGCTGCAGAAAACTTTGAAGCATTAACTTTTTTTTTTGGTAATTGGATTAGCTATCATATGTCAAAGTTTGATGGTGAGCTAATAAATCACCCTCTATGTATACACCCAAACCCCCTACTCTCCTCCTCCATCTCCACACCCTTGGCTCCTCGTCCCAATCACCTCCCTCATCCATCTTTTGCCCTCACCCCCCTCTCCCAAAATCTGCTTCCTATCCATCGCCTCCATCCTTAGCTCACTACACCCTCTTACCATGTCTTTCACCGTCCGCCCAATACCAGCTCCCTCTTTCCTCATTGCCACAGCGGAATCTGGCTCTATCAACAGATACTTCGGCAGTTCCTCTGCCACTATCTCCCCATATATTTCATTATATCTCCCTTTTCGTATCTGTGACTTTCTTTCCTGCCTCTGTATGTCCTTGTCCCTATCTCTTAGTTCTCTCCACATTTTACCTCTCACCATTCTTCTGTTGTCGATCCCAGTTAGTGAATATCCCACGCTCCTATTATATCCTTCCCTATCTTCTACCAATATATCAGCCTCTTCTCCTTAATTTCTCTCCAGCACTCCCTCAGGATCCTGCAATGTGGTCTTCCGTCTATCATTTCCTCGTACTTCACTGCTCTTCTCCCAGTCTCCACCCTTACTGCATCCACTTTAACCTCCTCACTACATACCCTGGAGTCTCCCTCGCCATCTCCAATACTTTGTTTGTACATCCTCGAGCAATCCTTGTTCTCTACATCCCCATACTTTTACGCCGTACATCATTGTGCTCCTCACCAAGCTCTCAAACATAAGCTTTCTTTTTCCCACATCCCTCCCAAAAGTTCTCTCCCCCCATCTACAAACCTGTCCCACCACCCTGTGTGCTCGTTTTGCCAGCGCCCTCACGAGCGACCCGACCTTATTACTTTCCGAGAACCCATATCCCAAGTACGTATACTCTTTCACTTCCTCTACATCTCTTCTCTGTCACATCTATTCCTCCCCTCTTTCTTCTCCCCCCTTTGCAACAATAAAAATTGACAGTCAATAAAAAACGCTACAGATGAATTCCTGGCGCAGATCAGGCTAAGATATCGGGAATACATATTCGGAGAGAAACCTAAGACCACGAGACTGGAAGGATAGAAGAGGCTGGAAGCAGGGAATCAGAAGGCGTGTATACCCGGATAAGAAATGCTAAAATGTAGATTAAAAGAGATAAAGAAGTATGGATGCGAAAATTTAATCATAATAGGATCAGGCGAAAACTTTAAGGATTATAGAATTGCTTATTATAACGTATAGGAATAGGTCTCGTTTCGCATTCTTCCCAGGCAATGTGAATGAGGTGATAGAATTCCATATTCTTGACCCACTTTTGGCACTTTTCCATGCCAGTGTATAGATGGATCTGATCCTTTGCCCATCGAATAACTATAAGAAATTATGGGGAGGATATTAAGAAACTTACTGTAATCGGCGCAGCAAATGCAACAAGATTTATAGAATAACACATAACGATATTATTAGATACAATACCTCAAAAAAAATTAAGGATCTACTAGAAAAAATACCACGATTTTCCATGTCATTAAGTATACATAAGCATTTAGCCACATACGCCAATGTTTATCGCCAAAGCCAATTTTGAGCCATTCAAACGGTTAAAGGTAATCAGAAATAGAAAAAACCAAGTATGCATTACAACCAAAACCATAATTCAATTTAGCAACAGTTATCCCAGATGGCGATTTGATTGGATGATAAATTTGATCGTTAATCCGAATATAAGGGGAAGGAAACAATAAATATCTTGAATTTGAAGTTTCCAGAAATTTTCAAATATCCTTATCAATTGATGATGCAATGATAACGTAGACTTTATACTACGTTGTCTCGATTTAGGAATAATGGAGATTTGATGCAGATGTCATTAAATCTGTATGAAGATTTTATGCAACCTTGAAGGAGTCTTGATGTATTCATAGATGCAGACTTGATAGACTCGATTAAAATTATGGGGATTTCATACGTAACTGTCATGATACAAACATAACAGTAATTTAACGTAAAGTTAATGTATGCTTAGTGCATTGATGCAGGCAAAAAACATAATGAATATTTGATGCAGATTCAACGAAGCCATAAAGACTTTATGCAATCTTGAGGGAGTCTTAATGGATTCATAAATGCATACTAAATGCAAAAATATGATGAGGACTTGATGTAGACTTTATATGGAGTTGGGTGTGACCAAACTTAATACAACAAGGAGCAAAGATGTTAACTATACAAAGTTAGTATAATTTTCATAGAATGTTACGTTGCGATCATATTGAGTACTAATTATGTTTAAAAGATGAGAAAAATGATTTGTAATCATATTAGGTACTTGAATTTTGGACCATAGTTGTTTACGATCGTACAGAACTGACTCTCGGATCTTTGTTAGGATATCTTGCCAGAACGAGCCTGAACAATTTTACAAGAGAAATATAGAAAGATATCGACAATGAACTGCCTTAAAATTTTCTAGTAATTGTTTTCCACCAGATTATTTACAAAAACAAGACTAAAATAAACTTAATCTTCAAGTAAAGTTTCTGCCCCTTCAAATTTAAATAAGTTATAATTAAATCTTGTATGCTATAAATAGGCCTTAAATAATTCGTAAATGTTGTAAAACGAAGAATTCCTAAAAAATTAAAACAATCTTAATTAACACTGTCCGCGCGGTGTGAAAACCCGCTTCAAGTCAAGTTTCTCCCCACTTCTAGACATTGAAATCGACTCAGAAAACGTAAATTTATTGAGAATCGGCACATTTCGAATTCATTATGATTCGTCGGTAGCTCGACGTGACGAACGGCAACGGTTTTTGATAAAAAGGCCTCAGGCCACTGGTGCTGGTCGCATCGTAACGTAGTGGTTTGCCGACAATGTTAACAATGTTGAGTTATTGGTGGTGCATGTTGTGTATATGGTGTGCGATGTGTAGTTGTGAAAACGCGGAGGAAACCACGATCAAAACACCGCGGATTGTAAATCACCGAAAAACTGTTGAGGAATATGAAACCTACGTGAAGAACCCTCAAAAAACGAGGATTCCTTGGGCGTCCCTGAACGATAGTCTTGGAAGCCACGTGAGTTTGATAAAATAGGGGTGCTTTAAAAATAAAGGATTTTGTGTTCAAGAGTATTTGAGTGTGAATATGAAAATCGCGGTTCGATCTAAATGTAAACAATGTTATAGGTCATTTGGTTGGTCATCAACATGGTTTTTTTTTCTGTGATAATATAGTTATTAAGAAGGGAATATTTTCTCAAAAAAAAAAGTTATTCAATAATTATGTCGTTTATAAAGATAAAAAAAGAATTTAAAAAAATATTTTGGTCAGCATTTAAATAAAATTACAAGTTATATAGCTTTTTAAAATAGTTTAAATAAAATTGGTTGAATTGTTACAACATTTCGCGTGGTGATTAATTTGATTGTTATAACTAAATTCTAGAAAATCACATATTAGCATTGTTGTTTTATCTGAAAATGTTCTGAAAATCATTCTGTTTTCATGCGTGACATAAATAAGATTAACATTAAAAAAAGGCTTTTCATGGGAGGTTAATTGTTAACACTTTTATCGAACTCATAATGATATACCCAGTATATAATTTATGCTTACTGAATAAGAATTGAGTGGGTGGCATTACGAAGTTGTTACATATTTAAAGATAAAGAAATAATTAGAAGGAAAAGCAATTTATTTGATGACAAAGAACGACGATTTGATGCAGTGCTTAAAGATTTGATTAAACCTACAAGAAGATTTTATGCAATCTTGAAAGAGTCTTGTTGTACTCATAAGTACAAACTTGATAGATTGGAAATAGAATAAGGAAAGAAACTGGGCAGAAAGGAAGAAACATGTAAAAGGATTAGTAATAGAGGAAAAAGGCTAAATAAAGACCGAAAAAACAATAAGGACACTGGGCAGACAGGAAGGAGTCTATAAAGGCAAGAAAGGTGCTAGACATGAATGAGAAATACTGGTAGGAAACCAATAATAGCAAAAAGAGATTTACCAGACACTGACAAGAGATGAATGTTACTGGACAGAAAGCAGAGTACTTGAATAGGAACTAGTAATTGAAGAGAAAGAGATTGAGAAGACAAAAAGGAACTGGGCCAGAGAGAAAAGAGATTAAAAAAACATTGTAAAGGAAAAAAAGAAATTGATAGAGAAGAGGAACACTGGGAATAGACTGGAATAACAAAGAGAACGGTGGGTAAAGAGCAGAGAGACTAGAAAGAGAATAATAGAAGAGACTTCACAGTGCAAGAACCTAAAAATACTGCACAAAACCCGGAATGACAAGAAACTGGACAGAAAGGCTGTAAAGGGACTAGTAATGGATGGAAAAAACTGAACGATGACCAGAAAGGCAATAAAGAAACTGTGTAGGTAGAGAGGAGACTAGAAGTACAAGAAAGGAACTAGATACAGATGAGGAAGGCTAAAATAGTCTAATAATTGAAGAAAGGACCTGTAAAAAAGAAAGTTATTGGGCAGAAAGAAATGAACCTGAAAAAGGTTAGTAATGTAAGAAAGAAATTGAAAACCAGAGAAGAAAGATTCTGAGCAGAAACTGAAAAAATACGAACAAGACCAGTAACAATATACTGGGAGAAGAAAAAGTGGCTGAAATTTCATATATTGATGGCAACACCAAAGGATTTTCGAGATTTGCAAAACATTTAATATAACATAAATGTTGACTTTTTGGTAATTAAAGACTAAAATAAATTAAAAAAATTGGACTAAATGTACTAGTTAAGCAACCATAAAGAGCGACTGTACAGATATTGATGGCAATAAAAGATGCTGAACAAACAGAGGAAAAAAATTGACTGAGCAGAGAGAAATGAGAGTGTAAAGGCAAGAAAAAAATAGAGAATAAACAAAAAAAAAGCTTGAAAATTATGTTACATAGTTTTTTGTTATTAATTCCATAGATTGTAAACAACTTGTACAGATCATTATTTTCTTATTACATTATCTTTTTATATCTTTTAATAGAAAGATTTTGAAAGATATCAGAAATTATGTTTAGATATTAAGCACGTAATAAAACGCTTATTATTATTATAATCAGAAATATCATGGATAATATTGAGATATGATTTAGAAAATGTTAAGGAAGGACCATTATTAAACTAAACATGTTGAGTGATGTTGATAGATAATAGGAAATATATTGAGGGGGGCCATGAAGCGTTGGGAAAGTTATAAATTTTGAGAGGCATCAGGGATGATGTTAATTGTTAAATGGGAGGGTATTGAGGAGGTCAGCCATGATGTAGGAGAATATCAGAAATAATATTGGGAGATATCAGACCCGTTATTTAGAGATAACATGGATCAAGATGATGGGGAAGATATGCATAAGGAGGACAACCTGATTTTTGATATATGCCCGGAAATTGCGTTCATATATTTAAAGGTGTGATTCTACATAAAAAATNACCAGAGAAGAAAGATTCTGAGCAGAAACTGAAAAAATACGAACAAGACCAGTAACAATATACTGGGAGAAGAAAAAGTGGCTGAAATTTCATATATTGATGGCAACACCAAAGGATTTTCGAGATTTGCAAAACATTTAATATAACATAAATGTTGACTTTTTGGTAATTAAAGACTAAAATAAATTAAAAAAATTGGACTAAATGTACTAGTTAAGCAACCATAAAGAGCGACTGTACAGATATTGATGGCAATAAAAGATGCTGAACAAACAGAGGAAAAAAATTGACTGAGCAGAGAGAAATGAGAGTGTAAAGGCAAGAAAAAAATAGAGAATAAACAAAAAAAAAGCTTGAAAATTATGTTACATAGTTTTTTGTTATTAATTCCATAGATTGTAAACAACTTGTACAGATCATTATTTTCTTATTACATTATCTTTTTATATCTTTTAATAGAAAGATTTTGAAAGATATCAGAAATTATGTTTAGATATTAAGCACGTAATAAAACGCTTATTATTATTATAATCAGAAATATCATGGATAATATTGAGATATGATTTAGAAAATGTTAAGGAAGGACCATTATTAAACTAAACATGTTGAGTGATGTTGATAGATAATAGGAAATATATTGAGGGGGGCCATGAAGCGTTGGGAAAGTTATAAATTTTGAGAGGCATCAGGGATGATGTTAATTGTTAAATGGGAGGGTATTGAGGAGGTCAGCCATGATGTAGGAGAATATCAGAAATAATATTGGGAGATATCAGACCCGTTATTTAGAGATAACATGGATCAAGATGATGGGGAAGATATGCATAAGGAGGACAACCTGATTTTTGATATATGCCCGGAAATTGCGTTCATATATTTAAAGGTGTGATTCTGCATAAAAAATCATGAAGAAAAGTTCATATAAAGGTGTGTCCTAAAATGCTTCCTAAGGAAGGTAGAGCGCTTTGAAGACGTTCAATATGAGGTTATTTCTCATTATTTCAAAAACTACTAGGGTTAGAAACACGAAATTTTGCATATTCAGCTATTTTTACGGGGCGAATACGATAATCGAATAAAAAATTAGAAGTAATGTGCAGTTGCGGAAATAATGGATAGGGGGCGCAATTTATTTCCCATATTTTTTTTTTGCTTTGATCTTTTCACTATTTTAACCTCAAAATTAGAATCTACGGAAAAAGATACATAAAAAATGTTCTGCTTATAAAATGGTCTACAACCACTCGTTTTCAAGATAAATAATACTAAGTAAAATACTGCACACAAACATGGGTATTAAACTATCACTAAAAATCTTAATAGGCTTCTTTCATTGGTTTGATTTAAGCTGTCAAATGGGTGATAAAAAATTACTTCGTATATTGTCTACAAAATTTTTTTCCAATCATAGTTAATTTTATCAAAATGATTCAAAAGATGATTATAACTAATTTTTCATAATAACTTAAAATTTTACCAAAACCCTAAAAAAACAATTTAAACAAAACGTATTAACAATTCAACAAAAATAAAAAGTTTAACTTAAAACATTAACAAAAAGCACTTAAGTTTTTAACAAATAACACCAAAAGAAGTTATAAGAATTGTTCAAAAATTCCACCATCCATGTCAATGCAACATCTCACTCGTTTAATTAATGAACGTCTTACTTTCCAAAAAATATCTTGAATGTTTCAAATAGTGTTACAACCGTCCCTTACACGTTGTTCTAGCTCTTCGACATTGTTAACTGGTGTTGCATACACTAAATATTTAAGATAACCCCAGAGAAAGAAGTCTATGGGATTTAAGTCTGGCGAACGTGGGGGCCATGCTACGGGCGCTCCTCGACCTATCCATCTTTCACGGTAGGTTTCATTTAAATATTGCCGTACTTGAACGCTGAAATGAGGAGGAGCCCCATCATGCATAAACCACATTTCCCTTCGTGTTTGATACGGCACTTCTTCCATCAGTTCAAACAAGGTATTTTGCAAAAAGTTAAGATAAGTTGTACCGTTGAGACGGTTATCAAGTACATGCGGACCAATTAAATGATCCCCAATAATACCAACCCATACATTAATAGAAAATCTTTCTTGATGTTTCGTGGCTAAAACATTGTATGGGTTTTCATCGGCCCAAACATGGATATTATGGAAGTTAATGACGCCATCTCGGGTAAATCCAGCTTCATCGGTAAACAACACTTTTTCCGGAAAATTTCTGTCATGGCGCCATTGTTCCATAATCCAACGACTGAACTGTAGTCTTGGGATGCTATCGGTGGGTTTTAAGGCCTGCACCTTTTGGAAATGATATGGATGCAGTAGCTGATCTTTAAATACCTCCCAAACGGTGGTTTTCGGCACATTTTCTTGTACCGATAATCTCCTAGTGCTTACCGTAGGATTGATAGCTACTGCATCGAGCACCCTTTCTTCCACTTCTACAGTCCTCGTAGTGCATGATCTTCCACAGTCGTAACGATTTTCCTTAAAGCGCCCAGTTTCACACAATCTTCTATGAATAGAAGCGAACGTTTGTTCACAGGGAAGTTGTAGGTTTGGATATCGTTCTGCGTACAATCTTCGTGCTTCTCTGGCATTTCCATCAGCTCTACCGTACGTAAAGTGAATGTTTGCCATCTCTTCGTTTGAGTATTGAACCATTTTGATTTAATTAAACGTAAATTATAATGGTTGTTGCACTAAAATAATTTTTTATCGACCGTTTGACAGCAAAGATCAACAAATGAAAGGAGCCTACTAAGATTTTTAGTGATAGTTTAATACACATGTTTGTGTGCAGTATTTTACTTAGTATTATTTATCTTGAAAACGAGTGGTCGTAGACCATTTTATAAGCAGAACATTTTTTATGTATTTTTTTCCGTAGATTCTAATTTTGAGGTTAAAATAGTGAAAAGATCAAAGCAAAAAAAAATATGGGAAATAAATTGCGCCCCCTATCCCTTATTTCCGCAACTGCACATTCCTTCTAATTTTTTATTCGATTATCGTATTCGCCCCGTAAAAATAGCTGGATATGCAAAATTTCGTGTTTCTAACCCTAGTAGTTTTTGAAATAATGAGAAATAACCTCATATTGAACGTCTTCTTCAAAGTGCTCTACCTCCCTTAGGAAGCATTTTAGGACACACCTTTATATGAACTTTTCTTCATGATTTTTTATGTAGAATCACACCTTTAAATATATGAACGCAATTTCCGGGCACCCTGTATATTAGAGATGGTGTTGTAAAAAATCAAAAATAATCTGATGACATAATTACTACATAATTGGAAACGAGAAAGACGATATTGACAAATGATAATAAAGATGTTGAGAAAGGTCAAGAAAGTGTTGGGAGATTATATTACCGGTATCGAAAGTTTAATTATTCAGTTATTCAACGTCTGTTCGAAAATTCATAACATGTAAGCACAAAGTAGACGTTTGAAAAAATAATTCCTAAACAGTATTTTTACAAGTCGCCGCATATTTTGGTGTGTAACTTACAAGATGAATAATTTACGACTGCATTTCCTAATAATCTTCATTCTGTTTTACTATCGAAGCTTGATAACACATATAAATCACATTTGGATTAAAGCGATAAAGCCACTCAAGGTCTAAATTCATTGACCAGTATTTCTGCTTTAATTCTTAATTTGATAACCGTTTCTAATACCACAAAAACTTCAATATTTATATATCTTTGACATCTTATTATTAGGGGAGAATTAAAGTTTTGGAGAAATTGAAAAGGGGTTGTTTCCCATTCTATCTCACTTGATAGTAACAAATTAAATCATTTCATAAATAAATAATTAATAAAGTTACCTTTAAGCGGGTCTTCATTCTCTAATATTGTCCTTTAACTGCTTCGTTGAAATTTATTCCATGAACTACCTGTAACAGGGCAAAACATCCCAGGAAAAATATTAATATATAAACTTTATAAATTTAGAAAAAAAATTTTTAAAAAATGGTTTAAAAATACAAATACGTGGTTCCCTTTAACAAAAACCCACGCTTTATCGCCACATAATTCATTCCCTATCACCGTAACGGATCGTTCATTATAAGGAAGGTTCATTAAAAAACGAGTGGTTTACTGGCGCCGCTTCTTTTAAAGTTATTTTGAGATACAAAAACCACGTTATTCAAGGACGAATAGGAAATGTATAGAAATGTTGTAATCTTTCTAAACGGTTCAAATGTAAAAAAAATTAATGTGAATGTCTCCAGAATCACTTATGACCTTTAATCACCTCGACCGAAATAAGATAAAACAAGAGTTAAAAATGTTGTACTGTTATAACAAAATACGTTTTTAAAAAACGAGTGTTTTGAGTTTAATTAGATATACCTTGACCGATTAAGCGATTAATAAATGTTAATTACGTCATCTTTGTTTATTTAACACTTTTTCATTCAATGTATTTCAAGAATAAAAGACAATTATTTAAAAAAAATAATTATTTTTGTAATCTTAAAAAAATATTTAAAGAGCTTATCTAACCAGAGTGAATGTGTGAATGGATGAAGATATTTGTTTAAAAAAAATAAAGTATTGATATATTTTATTTGAATTTTAGTTGTACCCCCCAGAAGCAATATTATACCGATGTCCTACAGACTTGGCGATGATTATTGGATTAAAATGTTCGCCGGTTGTTGAAAACATCACACTAGAGGTACTGCAGCATATCATGTCAAAAAGAACACATGATATCAAAAAAGTAGAAACGTTTAATCACACAAAGTGTAACTGTGTAAATAACACATAGAGATGGATTCACCTCTTTAATGATAAATCAAACGTAAGACTGTAAAAACCAATTTGGTACTGTACTTAAATCAAAAGCGATGACGATTATGAAGTAGTTAGATTTAATTTATTTATTTCAATTTTTATGTATCAAGTCAATTAATTTCTGTATTCAACGCTACGATCAACAATAATTTCTTTTATGGGGAAACTATGAAATGTTAATTTCTAAATTATTTTTGCTCATCCTAAAAAAAATAATCGTTGATCACCCAAACATTTTATAAGAGGAACCAATTTTAAATGCCTAACACGCATTTGTGATTTGTAATAAGTATTATTGATGTTTAAATTATTTATCACTAATCTTTAATAATAAAATATTTTATAAAAAAAAAGGAAGTTGTTAATAACCCATAAATTAAAATCCCTTCACATTTAAATCGTTATATATATTGAACAAAGTTTAAGGTTGACATATCCTAATACACTAACACCATGTTTATGCGTCTGCAAAGAGTGAATCGGGGGAGAGGCCACATTACAAAATACAAAACGATTGGGTTACGAAAAATCAGTCCCTTCCATATATCTGGCTATTTTATAACAACTTTTTTTTTTATATTCTATAAAATAAACGGTCGAATGTTTGCTTTCAAAGTAATAAGGGGGGAAAAGAAAAATATACACAATTTTTACTTTCAACAATAGAACAAATGTGACGATATCTACACGAAAAAAAGGACTTCTTTTAAAAAAAGACTACTATGATGATGAACTTAAATTAACGTAAGTAGGGGAACACTAATACTATCCGGCGAGAAACGCGCGACGTGGAATGCAATGAAAATTAAAAACGACCGCCTCCATACGGCCTCTGGATTCGACCTCGACTACGTCTTGCAGTTCTTGGAGAAAAATTGCCTCTTCCTCTTTGAGGTTGTTCTATAAAAAAAAATAATTTTTTTAAAATCAATCTAAATGATGTAAAGTAAATGTAACAAACTTTTTAATTAATTAATTTAATTTATTTAGCATGATTTATTTTTTAAATTAAACATTCTTTTATAATTTTATTCCATGATCAACTTGAAGTAGATTTTCATCAACTCATGATATGATCAATATGATCTAGAATTGATTCGTTTTTATCAACCTAAGCTTTTTGCCTCAAATTCTTTATAATAGCTGCATCTAAAAAATATGCTATGTTGCACATAAAATGCAACATAGCTTAATAGTACAGGCATTGGGTAGTTTTGCAAAGGAAAAGTTTTGCTTGGAAAAGGTGACGTGCCTATGATAACTCTGAGTTTACATTTTTCGTTCAATAAAAATATACCACAATCTAACGCTGAATAACAATTAAAACTAGAACTAACACACTAGACCTAGAACTAGAAACATTCGGGTTTAGCCGCACGTCTTTAAAGACGGCTAAAACCGAATGATTCTAGTTCTAGGTATAGTGTTATATCTAGTTTCACACTTGTACTGTCACTAGAACTAACATTAGACCTAGAAATATTTGGGTTTAGAAGTACGTCTCTTCAGACGGCTAAACCCGAATGATTCCAGTTCTGCGTATAGTGTTAGTTCTAGTTTTACACTAGGACTTCTAATATGTATAGTCTACGATTTTTCTGGTGGTTTTTATAACTTAATTGCAGTCATATAACGAACAAAGACGGGGTTGTAAACAAGTAATCCGTTGTAAACAACGGAAATTACAAAAACATAATATTTAAAAACAATATTAACATAATTCGTGAGGAATGTAATAATATTTCATCCAAATTGTGGTCGCAGTACGTAAAACACGTGAAAGATGTCGAAGATTCGTATGTGTCACCACATGTACAGCGTTTTATTATTAGTGTTGATAATTCTTCTGATGACAACTTAGAATGCGCGGAAAGTGACAACTGTTATGACTAGAGTTCGGATTCTTCGGTACCTAAGTCCAGTCGACCAGTTCACGAATGTTGCGTTATTAACAAGCGACGCATAGCCAAGGTCCCGAGTTCACTGGTCTGCAGCGTTGTCATGGTAATCCATAGACACGCGTTAGCAAGGGTCTGTATTAACGCTAAATGAGCAAGTAATTATGTACTTTATTCAGTTCCTATTTGGTGAAATGATTGAATAATAATGACTTTTTCTAAATTTACTTCAGAAAATGACGACCTAACTCGACGTCACAACTGGTAACTAGCATAAATGTAACTGCTAGAACTAACAGGCCATATTTAGAAGATATTTCTTAGTTGCAAAATGCTACACTGTTGTCAATTAATGTGAACGTATCGCCAAAAATCGCTATTAAGTGTGCTATTGGAATAAATAATAAAAACTAAAACAACAGGGTAATTCAGTTAATAAAAATCAAAATATTAATTCTTAATAGAAGTAGTTTTAAATTATAAAACCTAAAACAAGAAGGCACTTCTAATTAAAACAAATCAGGAAAATATTCGATGATAATTAAATAAAATATTCAATACACTCCGTTTGAAATTATAAAAACTGAAACAATAGTACAATTCTAATTCAGAAAATGATGGATTTAACGATAAATAAAAAGGATATTAAATGAATTGGTACTGAATTCTCTGAAAACATCCGGATGAATGCAGGCCTGGCATGCTTATAGATGTGTGAGCGATCGGAACGGTAGATCGCGTGGTGAGAGTGCATTTATGATCGCGCCCCATAGATTCTGCGCTGGCGACGCTACTGAGACGGTACCGAAATATCCGAGCTTTGGTTATGACACTGATGAAGAATCTTGAATTAACGACAATCGCTGGTTAGAAATGTTAAATAATTTATATTTAAATAAAATAAAAAAAGAAGTGCGTCTCTGGGCCCAGTTCGCTAGGAGGGTCTATCATAAATCACGATCAGGGACTTTTTCGGGGTGATAATTACTGCCGCTACTGATTTTGGCGGTCATAAAAACCACCAGAAAAATCGGAGACTATAGAACTAACACTATACCTACCACTAGAATCATTTGGGTTTAGCCACATGTCTCTAAAGATGGCTAAACCCGAATGATTCTAATTCTAGTTTTACACTTGCTGTGTCACTAGAACTAACATTAGACCTAGAAACATTTGGGTTTAGCCGTCTTAAGAGACGTACGGCTAAACCCGAATGATTCTAGTTCTACGTATAGTGTTAGTTCTAGTTTTACACTAGCACTGCTACTATGTACAACTAGCCCTATACCTACAACTAGAATCATTTGGGTTTAGCCACATGTCTCTAAAGACGGCTAAATCCGAATGATTCTAGTTCTACGTATAGTGTTAGTTCTAGTTTTACACTAGCACTGCTACTATGTACAACTAGCCCTATACCTACAACTAGAATCATTTGGGTTTAGCCGCACGTCTCTAAAGACGGCTAAACTCGAATGATTCTAGTTCTAGGTATAGTGTTAGTTCTAGTTTTACACCTGCGGTCACTAGAACTAAAATTAGATTTAGAAACATTTGGGTTTAGCAATACGTCTCTTAAGATGGCTAAATCTGAATGATTCTACTTCTTGGTCTAGCGCTGCATAACAATTAAAACTAGAACTAACGCTAAACCCGATACTTTCTAGTTTTAGGTCTAGTGTTAGTTCCAATGCTAGTATTAGTCTTAGTTTTATTTGTTGTTTAGCGCTAGATTGTTGTATATTTTTATTGAACTATAACGGACACTGCGTTCCCCATATTGGTCCAGTATATCGAGGTTTTACTGTAATGTCAAATTATATTGACTGTTACATTTTATGTGGGACAAAGTAAGTAGGTACGCCCTGGTTTCTATGAAAATATATTTTTGCGTATTGCATCTTAAGGGGCTATACCAGTGTGAATTTTTTTGCTTTTTTCGGTAGTTTATACTTTCAGGAACATAATATTAGAATTTCAAAGTCGGATTCCAAATAGTTTTTACCTTTTAACTACCAACTTTCCGCAAGTCAGAAACACATATTATTCTATATTTCGCCTATTATTTGTTATTATTAGATAGAAGTACCTTTCACGGAAGTACTGGACTGTATCGCGCAATAAGAAGTTGTAAAAATCATAAAATTTTCTAAGAAAAGTTATAATGGTTATAACTCTGGCACTTTGTTCCAAACCACCTCCACAGCGGCTTCGAAACTATCCAACTTGCTAATTTTCTGGCTCTTTCCATTTTTAACGATGGTTTTCAATCTATTTGTTTCGAGTTATGGAAATCACTATTGGTCCAATTACAAATGAATGTGCGAACGATAGATCATCTCTATCGTTCGCCAGAATTTATCAAACTAATTTACGTCAAGCGGCATCAAAGGAGGGTAGAACTGCTCGAAAAAAAGCTTTAGCGGCTCAGCTTTTGAAACAGAGGAGGGTCCATTATATGGGTCAGAAATAGCGAAGTGACATTTCTTATGGTAAATACAGGGTAATTTAAAAAACCGCCGACGAACTTCTAGAGTAGATAATACACGAAAAATTAAGATGAATAGTCTTAATATACATAGAGTCGCAAATGCCTCGTTGGCGAGATATAGCGCATCAAAGTTTCTTTAAACATTATCTGCAATAAAAAACACTTTTTTAAAAATATTATCTACGCCATTGCTCTCTACGCGTGTAAAGTGATCAATTATCTATCAATTGGTCTCTTACAAAACTTTGATGAAAGCAATAGTTTTTAAGAAAAACACGTTTGTAGAAAATTTGTTAATTCAATCAAAAACTGTTGCTTTAATCAAACTTTTGTAAAGAGACCAATTGATAGATAATTGATCACTTTATACGAAAATACTGCCCGTTTGACAAAATTAGCAGTGGAGTTGAAAATATTTTAAAAAAAGGGCTTTTTATTGCAGATAATGTTTAATTTTAAAGAAACTTTCACCCGCTATATCTCGTTAAGGACGCATTTGCGACACCATGTATATTAAGACTTTTCATCTTAATTTTTGACGTATTACCTGCCCTAGAAGTCTGTCAGCGGTTTCTTTGATCACCCTGTATATCATTTTATAGTTAAAATTTTAAACGCGTTTTTCAAAAAACGGTAGTTTCAAAATTTGCTGCAGTTCTAACTCAAAGACAAATTATCCGATTGACTTGAAATTTTAACAAAGTATTATAAACATGTTTTATACACATTTAAAAACTGTCGATTTGACATCGAAAAACGGCGATTTTTTAGAGATAAATAAAAAAAGTTTTTCTTCAAAACTCTGCCAGTTTGGAGTACGGAGAATACCTTCTAGTTTAAGATCGATATTTGTTTTTTTCTGCAGCAGTGAAGGATCTTTTTTTTATGAGTGTTTCGAGACATAGCGCATAAGTCGCTAAAATGTTACTATTTTTCTATGAAAAAATTATTGTATATAGTTCAACAATAGACAAATACATGCTTAAAGTTTCAAAACATTCGTTGAAATACTTAATAAAAAAAAATTCCAAACATCACCTAAATTCTTTAGCAATTACACTGGTATAGCCACTTAAGTGAAATTCACTATGTAATAATATAGTATATTTCGACCTTCACAATAAAGTGTTAATTTCTTTATAAATATGTTTAAAATGGTTTCATACTGTTAAATAAAGTGACTGTTATTAAAATAAGTTTGTTACATTTTTATTACTGACCACCCTATTTAATAAAATCCCACCTTGTCTAAACATACGTTGATCTCCACCCCAAACAATTGGCGTTGGACTTGGCCTGGATATTCCACCTCTACTATGTGTAGCATGTCGCATAGATGACGATCGCCGAGCAACTGGAACGCCCCTTGTCATTGATTTCGATCGCGTATTTGTGCTTGGTGTCGCTTCGGCTTCACGACCTTCCTCTTCACCTTCTTCGGAAGTTAAAGGCTTCTCACCCTCGGATGATACCTAAAAATAATTAAATTAAACAAAAAAATTAATGTAATTTTTAGTATTTACCCCATCTTCGCCTTCTAACATTTCTTCAGGTTGTTGTTCTTGTTGTACAGTTTCTGAGGAGGTTCCAGCTACGGAAGGGGGACCCATACATTCACCTCCACTTCCTTCAGGTGCTTGTTCGCTGTCGTCACCAACACCGCTTACAGTAATTGAAGGAATTTCTCCTAAAAAAATATTAATTTTTTAATTAATAATTTTGGAAAATTATTTTGGTAAATATTAAGTAATAAAAACACGTATGACGTAATAAAGACCTCTTTAATAACAATAATAATAGAAATAAAACTGAGAAAAAATATGTACAAATTAAATTAAAATTTTATTTATTTTTACCATCCGTGTGCATTTTATGTCCGGATTGTTCTTCACCGCTGGGCCCTGCTTCTTGAGGAGAGGCTTGAAGGGGAGTGCTCGGTACACTTCGACCAGTACCTTTAAAATAAATAAAACATTTTATCACACCTACTTTTTAATGAAAATAAATCATACCATTATCATCAATAGGTATCTCTAAAGTTTGCTCTGGTATTACTTCATTAGACGCATTACTAGGAGGAACTGACTCGTTGAAAGTAAATCTTCCACTTGTAGGAACGTGCGGCGAACTAACAGCTTCGCCGAAACCATCTGATCGTCTTGGTACATATAAAGTAGGAGTTGAAGGAACAATTCCTAAAAAAAATAATCCAATCAATACGGTAAAAAGAACCCATTTTGTTTTTATTTACCATCATCACCACCTTCTTCTGGTAATTCCAAATGACTTTGTTGCTGTCTCGATAAAGGAGCAACTGGTCTAGTTCTAGAATTAGGCATTGTAACAGAAACGGAAGTGGAAGCTTGCGAAACTGTGACGCACGAGCTTCCATCAGTACCACTGCTAATCGCTTCAGATTGAGGTTGCTCAGAAGTTTCTTCTTGAGGATCTTCTTGTCGCTCACTTTGATTCGGTACTTCGCTGGAATCTTCAATAACTTCCACTTCATTACCACCCTCATCTTCTTCAACTTCTTGGCAATCATCTTCATAGTTCATTTGTTCACCGTACGTTCCTTCCATATCGTAACCTTCGCCGTCAGCTTCGTCCGGTTCATCGTCGGCGCCTTCGCCTTCATCCGGACAATCGCCTTCTTCATCGCTTTCGACTACAATAACGTTTTCAGTATCCTCCTCGTGGTCTCTTTGGCTGCTGGTCGGCACCTGGTACTCCACCTCCAAGCCGCTCTCACTTACGCTCTGAAAGTTCTCCGTGGTAGTCGTCGTCATCGTACCTTGAATGGTTCGCGTTCGTTTCGCCTGTTGAGTTTGTTTTCCTCCTTCATCCGATTGACAATCGGTATCAGCTTCGCGAGGTCTTTTATGCGCAGCTTGAGTTGTCGTTACAGTATTCGAACTACTACTACTACTTGTTCCCTGTTCTTGAGCGCTATTCGGAGGTTCTACTCTGGGTAAAACTAAAGCTACGGCTTGTTGTTGAGGTGCTTGCACCTGGACGTTATCCTCATCTTCTTCTTGCGAAGATTGCGTTGGAGGTACAGCGACTTGTCGAACACCAATTATAGCAGAACTGGCAGAGCTTGTAGCGGGGGCGTAATCGGTGTGAGAACTCGTTGGACTGCTTGAAAGGGCTTCAATTCCACTTGAACCAGTTGTATGAACTTGTTGTTGCGGAGGAACCATCACGCTAGGACTTTGACTTGTTCGTCCAGCCACAACGGTTCTGGTTGCCATTGAAATTGGACGTATGCTAGCTAAAGGAGGTTCCCCAACATTTCTCCATGGTTGCACGGTTACCGATTGAGTTTGATTCGTCGAATGCCCACTCATTGGTTTAATATTAGCAGTGGGTGGTTCTGTGCTTGATTTTTCGGCGGATCCACTACTAGTGGAAGGTTTTGATCCTTGTTGTAATCCCAATTGTCTTTGCAGTTGATTAACTCGTTGAGTAAGCGTTTCAATTTCTTGTGTTAGTCGTTCTTTTTCCGCTTGTTTCTCTGCTAAAATTTCATCTTTTTCTTTCTTTAATTTATCAAGTTCGTCGGATTTATCTTTATCCGCTTGACTTTGATCACTTTTACCTTGACCTTGGTTGCTGAGTTGACTCAATTCGGCTTTTAACGTAGTATTTTGTTCCGTTAAAGTCATAATTCTATCCTTGGCATTTTTGAATAGAGTCTTAAATCTCTCCTCTTTCTCCAAACTGGTTTGTTTTAGAGTTTCAATTTCTTTTTTGGAACTGTCGTTTTCTTCCGTAGCCGAACTAACCTGTTGATTCATCTCATCGATTTTAGCTTGATGGGCTACTTCCATCTGGGTTAATCGCTCTTCGATTTCCGCCCTACCTTCTTGTCTTAATTGTTCTTGTTTATCGATGGGAACGTCTGCTTGATCTTGATTTGCTTGTTGCTTCTTTAATTCTTCAAGTTCTTTAGTAACCTCTTCGGATTGGGATTTATATTTTTTCGCGATTTTTCTGATTTGCATCAAATTATTTTTTAGGTCTACTAATATAGTATCTTTTGCGGCAAATTCTTCTGTTAGCACGCGGTGCTCTTCGGTTAATTTAATATGGTCGTTTCTTGATGCTAAAAGATCCGTTGTTAAGTTGTTGACTTGAGTTCTCAAAGTCGTGAGTTCCTCACTCATACGATCCATCTCTTCTTTTTGCAGCGCCTGTTGTTTTCTAATTTCTTTTAGTTGTTCCTCCAATTTCGTTTTTTCTTTTGTTAGATTATTAAACTCTGCTGTTAATTGTGTGTTATTCGATCGTTCAACAGTTAATTGTTTCGCTAAACTCTCTCTTTCGTTTTGAAGTTTTTTCCAATCTTCAGGACTTGTACGATTCGATTTTTCAATCAACATATTAGCTCTTTGCCTCCAACGCGTTGCTTCACCTCTTAGCGTTAAATTCTCAGTTTGCATAGCTTCAGCTTTAATTCCCAACTCTCTATTTTTCTCTTGTAACGGCGATAATTGCTCCTCGAGTGTAATAGTTCTTGTTCGCAATTCGTTAATTTGAGATAAAAGACCATCACGTTCCATTCTTAAGCTTCGATTACTATCAGTTATCGCATTCAATGTTTCGACCTTGCGTAAAACTTCAGCATGTTTCGCGTTTGTTACCATTGATACGTCGGATTTTTCTCTTTCTACTAATAAAGCTGCTTTGGTTGCTTCATATTCTTTATTTAACGCTTCATGTAATGATTTGATGCGAGAATGTTCGGCTTCGAGAATTTCGCACTTACTGATTGCAATATCTTTTTCTTGACGAAGATATTTGATGATCTTTAATAATTGATCGCTAGAATTGGCTTCGTTTTCATTTAATGAGCGGTTAAAACTAACGTCTGCGTCAATCGCTGAAGTGTTAGACTCGCTTGATTGTGCTTGGACAATCGCGAGTTGAGTATTCATTTCTTGGAGTTGATCTAATAACAAAGCATTTTGAGTTTCCATCGCTTTAAATCTTGATTCTAATTCAACCTTTTCTTTTTTAAATAATTCTTCTTGATTAGTCCACCCTATTTTGCTCTCTTCCAAAGCGGCGATTGCTTTATCTCTTGCGATTTTAACTGATTCAACTTCATCGACAGTCTTGGTTAATTCTTCTTTAATAGTTGTTAATGTTTGCAAGTCGTTACTGTGCAACATCATTTCGTGTGCGTATTTATTTTCGGCTGCTTGCAAATTTTCTTGCAACGTTTTAATTTCGATTTTAGCGGCATCTAATTCTTTTTTCGCCTCAACTAAATCTTTGGAAATTTGTAATTGGGCTATTTCCATTTTTCGCATGCCGATATTTACAGCTTCTTGACCATCGGTGTAAACTGACAATTCTCCTTGTAATTCAGAACATTGTTCCTCTAGATCTTTAATTCTTTTTTCTTGTTCTTTTAATTTAGCTTCGGTAGTTTCCTTAAGCTTGTTATTCTGCTCGACGACTTCAATTAGTTGTTTTTCGGCCGCTTCGGCTACGTTTGAATGTTGGTCGATAGCTTCTTTGGCTATTTTTAATTGTTGCTGAAGAGATTCTACTTCGGCTTGGCGCTCAACTAACATTTGTTCTAATTCGCGGAATTTCTTTGAATCGCCGTCTCCGGTGAAGAGGCTTATTTTTAATTTTTTAGAAAGTTCTTCAAGTTGAGTTGATTTCGACATTAAATCTTCTCGTAATTGTACTAATTCTCCCCGCAATTTATTAGCGATTTTCTGTTCTTCCTCCATTCGACTTTGAGCAGCTTGAGTTTGTTTCTCTAAATGTTCTGATAATTGTTTAAAGTTATCCTGTTCTTCTTGTCGGCGTCTTCTTAAAGCGGCACATTCGCGATGAGCGTCGTTTAATTGTTCTTCTAATTTTAATTTGCTTTCAGCGTCGTTTCTTTCAAGAGTGGCTTTGATAAGTTCAATATTGGTGTGAAGTAAATTATTAGAGTGCACTTCACGTTTCATAGACTCGCGTTCTTTTAATAACCTTTGTTCGGAATCGCGTAAAAGCGCGTTTTCTTTTTGGAGGTTATTAGCTTGGACTTCTTGTCTACTTAATTTCGTGTGAGCTTCAAGCACGTTTTCTCGGAGATATTTAGCGCTAACTTCATGTTTAGTAATTGTTTCAGTGTATAATTTATTGCGCTCTTCTAATTTTTCAATTTGGTTTTTATAAACAGCCATATTATTTTTTAAAACTTTAAATAATTCGTCCATGCTTTCAAGTTTGGCCGCTAATTTAGTGTTTTGAATCATCATATCTTGAAGATTTCCGCGCGTTTTTTCATGATCCTCAATCAGCAATTTTTCATTAGTGGCCTTTTCTTTTTTATATGTATCATATTCATCTTTAAGAAGTTTTAATTCTTTTGTTAAACTTCCATTTTGAGATTCGAGTTCTTGAATTTTCTCGTCGTTTCCTTGACTAGTCTCGTTTTCTTGTTCTTTTGAACTGGCGGAGCCATTTTCCACAAACATTCTCTCACCGGAAATTGTGTTATCGTTTGCCCCTTTATTATTAGCCAATTGCATGTATAAATTTCTGTACATGTCCCTTTGATTCGTAAGCATTCCCATCAATTTGCTTTGTTTATCGTGTTGTTCTAAAAGATCCGCTTGTTCTTCGCGCATTTTCTCCAGTTTCGTTCTTAAAGCCGCAACTGCCGCTGCATCCATATCTTCGGCGTCTTCTTGTTTAGAACTAAGCTCGCGAACGAGCGCCAGCAAACGTTGATTATTGGTTTGTAGCTCACTGATGTCACTAAACGTGACCAATCGTTTTGAAATTATATCAGCGGAAGACGTTGTATCACTTAAATCGTGGTCTGTTGAGTTGCTGGAACTACCAGCTCGGGAATTTTCTACTTCTCGCAATAAATGACAAACTTGACGACCTAAATCTTGAAGTTCCTTTTTCAAACGGGAGTTTTCACGAGTTGCTACTCCTTCGAGACGTTTTGCTTCACCTGCATTTTCTTTAAAATTCTGCAAAAAAGTGTAGTACATAGATAAGTTGATGGAATCATCATTTTTCTCTCCACCTTACTTAATTTAGGTGATAGAGACTCGATATTCATTGTGGATTAAATAGGTGAAAACATTAGAAAATACGATGAAGTGAATTTTTATTAAAATTTAAAACCTAAAACAAACTTGGTCTAACATGGTGTGATAATAATCTTCCACTTTTTCCTAAAATTTTTCAAAGAGCTATAGCCATTTCGAGTATCCGCCTGTTTAACTTCCTGATAGAAGTCGAATTTGTTGGTCTTTAACTATTCTTGTTAATAATTTATAGAAGGTGGATACTAGGCTAATCGTCAGCATTTTGCCTGCTAGTTTGTGGGGACTGTGATTATATATATGTATCAGACAGACTAGTCGTAACACCAAAGTTAGATTCAAAGAACACACTAATAAAGATTCTTCTGCAGTGTATAAACATGTCTATCTTATTCATCATTTCTTGTCCATGTACCGACATATGCCTCTTCCATTAAGAAAGGTTTTTAACCAATAGTTTATCACGCTGACCAGACGAGTTTACGGTTGTTTTATTCAGTCGCTCTTTAGACGTTCTCTCTGAAGGACTGGTGGAAAAATGCTTGTGCTAGGACTCGAAATCAGGCCACCAGTACGCAAGCCACGTGACTTGTCATTAGGCTGTGAACACCAAGCTAATTATGGCAATTTAAAATTAATCGAGACAATAAGGAAATCGAGAGAATTTGATTATATAAAGAATTATATAAGTCATTATAAAAATAACTAATGATCAATTCTTAATAATTGAATCAACTGAAATTAATAACCATCGTTATTTTTAGTCGTGCTTGAAGAAGGTCAATGTGTTGAGAAGTCATGACGTGGTATTAATAATTGACTCAACGCGAAATTTGATCAAATTCTAACATTTTATCAAAAAAAAAAAACAAGTAAGTAGTGACCAATAGGTATTGGTCTCTAAAAGACTCAATCAATTTTGTTTGATTTTGACAGTTTCTTCTGTACACGATTTCTTGGAGTTGATCAACTTCATTCTAATAATCGCAAAGAGGCTGTCAAAATTTTCGAACTTCAACTGATGCCTCAAACTGACATCAAAAATATACTTATTTCAATGAATCTGCCGGAAAAGAAATTATTTCTGATGATGTTGTGTAACCACTACTGTTTATCATACACTATGGTGATTTAGACATGAATGCGCATTCCCTTTTTAGCGCAGATCCTCAAAAAGTCCGTTATTATATAACACATGATATGTTTATGATTCTTAGCATGGAGTATTGAGGTTCATAAATAATTATCTGTTAAATTTCCCCATTTCTACAAGTGTTAATACTCCATTAGATATTTCTGTTGAATCATGACATTAACGTTCAATAACTGATTTTTATTGGTTTAGTTTATGAAAATGAACTTTAATTACTGTCATTCTGCGTATAGTGGAGACTTGTTAACGCGTATTTATGGCATTAGAACTCGTCAAGTAGTTTCAGATAAACTCACAAAAGCTACATGACTGATAATTAGAATAATGGACGGCCTTTCATTTTTTTTGCTTCTTCCTACTTCCTTTTTTATTGCTAAATATATCTTGGTCAAAATGTTGCTATCAATGAAAAAACGCCCGATTTTCAGAGAAGGTACGCCGAATAAATACAGAATGGAATAATTTTTCTTGGCAGATGCCAAATTACTTGTATAATTGCTAAGAATAGTCTAAAACAGAGTTTAAAAACAATTCATAAAATAGGAGAAATTTGCCAAAAGATAAGAATCACCTAAAATGATTTGCTTTAGTAGTACTTTTGGTTGTACTAAATCCTTTGCCCAAAAGCAAAAAAACTGTCGTAATTGTTGCATTTTGGGAATGCTGTAAAATTAGTGGAAGAGCAACAGAATGAAGAGAAGAAGAGCAACAGAAAGAAAAGTAAAGTGTTAAATTTCTGCAATGACTTAATTAATATAATATATGAAAAATGATGGTTAACACATATGATGAGCTAAAATCAAAACAACATTCAATACGTTGAAAGTATCAAATTAAGAATGTAGTCATTAAAATGTTAACTTAAATAATCTAGTAATCCAGGTAGTGATATATTTTCTTTCATATTTTTTCTTTTAATAATAACAAATGGGAAAAGTAAAGAAAACAAAAAAGAAGTGTGAAAGACAATTACAACCCGAAAGTTAAACAACCAACTAATAACAAGAGTTGCTGCTACCATCTGACAAAAATGGGAGACAAAAGAGATTGAGGGGGACGACCTCAATATGTTCACCCAGTTCATTGACATTGGAGTTGTGAGGGCTTCCAACCTTTTTAATTTCACAATTTAATATATTTCAGTTTTGATGGTTTCTTAAGCTTTGCTTGAACAACGTTGTATATTTTTTAAATAAGTAGAGTAGTTTTGATTTCATAACCTTATCATTATATTTGGACGAAACAGTTTCTGATAGCATCACACATAAAAAACTTGAATTTTTGTCCACTTAGTGTGTGACAGTTTTATTTGACTTGAGAAGAATGATGATACTATTGAGATCCCAAATAAGTTAATTCACTTTTTTTCATCGTATTTTCTAACTATTCCACCTTACTTATCTCATAAAGATGGGAATGTTATCAAATCTTATAAAAACAGAGCACCATGTAAATTACAGAACACAAGACAAGGGTTTAAAAAAAATACTTTTCATTACTTAGTCGTCATTAAACATAACTATCCAAAAATTTTAAACAATTCATATCTACAAGTGTATTTGAATGACGTTCCCAAACTTCAGGGGATGATTCTTTAGCAAATTTTAAGGGTACTTTCTTACATGGACTATGAGCAACTTCGAGTCCCCTAAGGAGCTACGCCCCTTCAAAAATGGCGGAAAATTTTGGTTTAATTTATTTTTCTCTAAAACTAAAAACGCCAGGAATATGAAATTTGGGGAATAAGTTTAGCTCATAATAATTGCTAGCTTATTTGTATTTTCAATATTTCCTTCTAAGTTACTAAACGTAACCACTCCTTCATTTTTTTCCTATATTTTTTTATATGAAAGTGATAAATACATTGGAAAAACATTATTTAAAATTTTGAAACGCCGAGTAAACTAGCGTAAATGCGATAGAACTTTATTCGAAAATTAATTTGAAAAACAATAATAATAGTAAGAAAAACACTGACATTTAAACGTCAAAAACATTTCTGACAAAGATTGCAAAGGTTCTAAGATCTTTTTCATTAAAAATTCATTCCAACTTTCGATTAACAACCCTACAGCTTAACAGTTAGTGTTTGCTTAATTAATTTTTTTCTCAGAAATTATTAAATTTTAGAACAACATCAGAGAGACAACAAAGTTTTAGAATAGTTTTATCTATCTAACTGAAATTTTTCCAATGTATTTATCATCTGCATAAAAAAAATCTTAGCAAAAACTTAAAGGGGTGGTCATGATTAGTAATTTAGAAGGGTAGGTTGAAAGTACAAATAGGATCAAAACGTGCCCTATTATGAGTTAAACATATTCCCCAAATTTCATTTTCCTAGCGTTTATGGTTTTTGAGAAAAAATAATTAAACCAANTTCACCCAGTTCATTGACATTGGAGTTGTGAGGGCCTCCAACCTTTTTAATTTCACAATTTAATATATTTCAGTTTTGATGGTTTCTTAAGCTTTGCTTGAACAACGTTGTATATTTTTTAAATAGAGTAGTTTTGATTTCATAACCTCAACAGTAACACAAAAAACTTGAATTTTTGTCCACTTAGGATGTGACAGTTTTATTTGACTTGAGAAGAATGATGATACTATTGAGATCCCAAATAAGTTAATTCACTTTATTTCATCATATTTTCTAACTATTCCACCTTACTTGTCTCATAAAGATGGGAATGTATTACAAAACACAAGACAAGGGTTTAAAAAAAATACTTTTCATTACTTAGTCGTCATTAAACATAACTATCCATAAATTTTAAACAATTCATATCTACAGGATGTATTTGAATGATGTTCCCAAACTTCAGGGGGTGATTCTTTAGCAAATTTTAAGGGTACTTCCTTATATGAACTATGAGCAATTTCGAATCCCCTAAGGAGCTACGCCCCTTCAAAAATGGCGGAAAATTTTGGTTTAATTTATTTTTCTCTAAAACTAAAAACGCCAGGAAAATGAAATTTGGGGAATAAGTTTAGCTCATAATAATTGCTAGCTTATTTGTATTTTCAATATTTCCTTCTAAGTTACTAAACGTAACCGCCCCTTAATTTTTTTCCTATATTTTTTATATGAAGGTGATAAATACATTGGAAAAACATTATTTAAAATTTTGAAACGCCGAGTGAACTAGCGTAAATACGATAGAATTTTTCTCGAAAATTAATTTGAAAAACAATAATAATAGTAAGAAAAACACTGACATTTAAACGTCAAAAACATTTCTGACAAAGATTGCAAAGGTTACTAAGATCTTTTTCATTAAAAATTCATTCCAACTTTCGATTAACAACCCTACAGCTTAACAGTTAGTGTTTGCTTGCTTAATTAATTTTTTTCTCAGAAATTATTAAATTTTAGAACAACATCAGAGAGAACAAAGTTTTGGAATAGTTTTATCTATCTAACTGAAATTTTTCCAATGTATTTATCATCTGCATAAAAAAAATCTTAGCAAAAACTTAAAGAGGTGGTCATGATTAGTAATTTAGAAGGGTAGGTTGAAAGTACAAATAGGATCAAAATGTGCTCTATTATGAATTAAACATATTCCCCAAATTTCATTTTCCTAGCGTTTATGGTTTTTGAGAAAAAAAAATTAAACCAAAATTTTCTGCCATTCATGATTTATACAGGGTGTATCTGACTGCAACAAACTTCAAGGGGTGATTCTTTAGTGAATTTTAAGGGTACTTTGATATATGAACCATGGGCGCCTTCGGCCCCCTAAGGAGCTACACCCCTCCAAAAATGGCGGAAAATTTTGGTTTAATTTCTTTTTCTCAAAAACCATAAACGCTAGGAAAATGAAATTTGGCGAATATGTCTAAGGGTGCGTTTACGTTGGAGCTGCGATAAACGATACTAACAAAATAACGAAATTGTTGTCATAGTTTTATATGCAGGTGTTTATATTGAAACGAGAGCTGCGATAAACGATAAGAACAACAATGAGAGCAGCGATAAGAGCTGCGCAAAATGAATTGAAAACGATTTGTCAGAACAAATCTGTTGTGGTAATTTTTATCTTTTTGGTCCCACAAGGGGGATCTAACAAAAATTTCACTAATTAAACAGTCGATATCCATGCCGACCACACCTGATAATAGCAAAGAAAATAGGGAATACAATTAGCGTCGCTCTTATTGTTAGTTGGCTGTCAAGCTTGTGACAATTCGTCGCTCCAATATAAACACTTGCATATAAAACTATGGCAACAATTTCGTTGTTTTGCTAGTAGCGTCGCTATTATCGTTTATCGCAGCTCCAACGTAAACACACCCTTACTCATAATAGGGCACGTTTTGACCCTATTTGTACTTTCAACCTACCCTTCTAAATTACTAAACGTAACCACCCCCTTTACATTTTTGCTAAAATTTTTTTTATGCAGATGATAAACACATTGGAAAAATTTCAGTTAGATAGATAAAACTATTCTAAAACTTTTTTGTCTCTCTAAAATTTTTCCAAAAACGACTAATTTTTGAGAAAAAAATAATAAAGCAAACACTGCCCGTTAAACAACGGGGTTGGGCGATCAAAAGTTGGAATGAATTTTAAATGAAAAAATCTTGGTAGGCTTTGCAATCTTTGTCAGAAATATTTTTGACGTTTAAATGTCAGTGTTTTCGTATTATTATTATTATTTTTCAAATTAATTTTAAAATAAAGTTCTATCGCATTTACGCTCGTTCACTCGACGTTTCAAAATTTTAAATAAAACAATAATAATAGTAAGAAAACCACTGACATTTAAACGTCAAAAATATTTCTGACAAAGATTGCTAAGCCTGCTAAGATTTTTTCTTTAAAAATTCATTCCAACTTTCGATTAACAACGCTACAGCTTAACAGTTAGTGTTTGCTTAATTAATTTTTTTCTCAGAAACTATTAACTTTTCGAAGAACATCAGAGAGGCAAAAAAGTTTTAGAATATTTTCGTCTATCTAAATAAAATATTTCCAATGTATTTATCATCGTCATAAAAAAGATCTAGACAAAAATTGAACGGGGGTGGTTATGTTTAGTAACTTAGAAGGGAAGATTGAAAGTACAAATAGGCTCGAAACATGCCCTATTATAAGCTAAACATATTTCCCAAATTTCATTTTCTTGGTGTTAATGGTTTTCGGGAAAAAAAAAATAAACCAAAATTTTTCGCCATTTTTGAAGGGGGCGTAGCTCCGCAGGGGAGTCGAAATCGCTGATAGTTTATATGAGAAAGTACCCTTAAAATTGCCTAAAGAATCATCCCCTGAAGTTTGGGTACGTCATTCAGATACACCCTGTATATTAAAGTTCCCCTAAAATTCACTAAAGAATCACCCCTTGAAGTTTATTGCAGTCATTTAGATACACCCTGTATGCAACATTATAAATTCATTAAAGAGATTCTTTTTACAAAAGAAAAGGATTGATTTTTTAAACTTGTTTTGTTATGCTTCATATTTTTTTTTGTTTTAACACCTACCTGTACTTCATTAATCAAATCATCATTAGTTTTAGTTAATTCCTTTATTGTTTCAAGAGCTTTCTCATAATCCTCATTTTGTTTGATCAATATTGGACTTCTCTCTTCTAATTCTTGAATAATATTATTTAAGTAAGCTTGGAGTTTTGTGTGGTCTTCTTTAAGAGTAGCATGCTGATCCCTCATATTAACATATTCAGTGTAAATCTGCGTCATAGACATCCCGGATTTAATAAATTTCGAAGCTACAGCTGCCGCAGGCGACATCCCCTCCACCTCTTTTTGGAAGCTCTCGTTTTTAGACGCTTCAAGAAGTATTTGAGACGCATCAAGTTCCTTTTTGAGTAACTCAATACAATCGTTCTTTTTTGCTAATACTTCTTCGTGTATAACAGTCATTTCTTTGTGTTTGGTTTCTAATTCACCGTATTTGTCAACAGCCTCATCTAATTTGTTTTTAACTTCTTGATAACCATTCGTCAATTTCTCGGTGAGTTCTGATTTTTCTTGAGCCATTTCCTGGTATAAAACGACCAGTTTCTTTTGTGCGTCCATCTCGTGTTGATAAGCTTGTACTGCTTTAGCTGCAACTTCTTTCTCTTCAAGACTCTTTTTATTCATCTCTTCAATTTTTTGAATTAATACTTGGTTGCGTTCGGTTAAAACTTGTACAGAATCGTTTGTTAGTTTTAATTCTTGGATTTTTTCGGATAATTTCGCTTCTAATTGCACCACTCTCGACGTGTTATCTCTACGTAAACTTAATAATTCCTCAGTTTTTTCGCGTAATTCTTCGGTTAATACATCCATTTGGCCATTTAATAACGTTTTTTCTTGTTCTATTCTTTTCTCTTTATAATCTAGGGTTAATTTTAATGATTCAACTTCTTCGGCTCTGTTCACAGCTTCACATTTTGCCGCTATGGCAGCTTCTAATTGTTTAGTAAGCATGTTAAAATCGGTTTGGAGGCGGTTAATTTCGTTAACACGACGGTCGATCATTTTTTGGAGCTCATCTCGATCATCTACGGCTAAATTACGCTGGTGTCTGTAATCGGACATTTCCTTTTCAACACGATTAAAAGCCTCTTGGAGTTTATTGTTTTCGGAGACCGTTTGGGATAGTTGGTTTTCCAATTCGGAAATTGTCGCAGTTGCGGCTTCCAGTTTAATTTTAACATCGTTGTTTTCCGTTTTTAATGTTTCCAATTCCGTTGTTATTTCAGATAAGGCTTTTTCTGTGTAATAAAGAAATGTTTAGATAAGTTTTTTTGTAGTAATTCAAGGAATTTTATCAAAATGGATGGGAAATTTACGATTTTTTAAACGAAATTTTTTAAAGTGTACGTACCGGAATTGAATCGAGCCGTTTCTGCAATAGCTTTGGCGGCTAGCAACTGGTCGAACTGTTCTTCCGCAACATGCTCAATTTTTTTAATCACATCAGAGGGAATCGCATTCCACTCGGATTCTGTTAACGCCGTAGCGAACAATTTGCTCACCGCTACTTCCATTGCTTGAAATTATTGTTCTCAGCAAAAATACACAGTCACATTTCACATAAAACGTTCACAGCGTCTTCGTAATTTTTCGCTCATACAAAGCAATCAAAGCATCATACGGCGACCAACAGAAACATGCCGGTTTTGGCACCCACAATGCATTGCGCTCCAAGTGCCAACACAAAAAAAACGAAATTAAAAAATAACGGTTGCTTTATCTAGTTATTTTTACATAATCACTTTTTATTTTCAAATTTAAATCATATTTATTAATACATTTTTAAATTATTTCTTTGTTTATATACATTAAAATAAAATTTAAAAAAGGATTATAAAGTATCAAAATTAGCCACCTATGCATTAATAGCGAAACTAAGATTGCTGCTTTTGACAGTTTTGATTAAATGATAAGAAATTTATGAAAAATATCATCAAAAAAGACGAAATTATCGAAGTATAAATATAGAAAGTAAACTATGTAATGTTTTCTAAATAAATTTATTGAAATTACATATATTAATATCGATGAAAACTTATTCAGATTATCTTTTACAGCAGAGAAAGAGAAGCTTTTGATTTCAAAAATTAGTACTTTGTGATCACAATACAGAAATGAGGCAATGCTTAATATATGTATAAGCAAAGAATTATACACACAGTGAAGTTCACTTAAGATGCAATATACAAGAATATATTTCCATAGAAATCTTACTTACTTTGTCCCAATAAAATTAGACTAACACCATTTTGAGTTTCCATCGCTTTAAATCTTGATTCTAATTCGACTTTTTCTTTTTTAAATAATTCTTCTTGATTAATCCACCCAATTTTGCTCTCTTCCAAAGCGGCAATTGCTTTATCTCTTGCGGTTTTAACTGATTCAACTTCATCGACAGTCTTGGTTAATTCTTCTTTAATAGTTGTTAATGTTTGCAAGTCGTTCCTGTGCAACATCCTTTCGTGTGCGTATTTATTTTCGGCTGCTTGCAAATTTTCTTGTAACGTTTTAATTTCGATTTTAGCGGCATCTAGTTTTTTTTTCGCCTCAACTAAATCTTTGGTAATTTGTAATTGGGCTATTTCCATTTTTCGCATGCCGATATTTACTGCTTCTTGACCATCGGTGTAAACTGACAATTCTCCTTGTAATTCAGAACATTGTTCCTCTAGATCTTTAATTCTTTTTTCTTGTTCTTTTAATTTAGCTTCAGTAGTTTCCTTAAGCTTGTTATTCTGCTCGTCGACTTCAATTAGTTGTTTTTCAGCAACTTCGGCTACGTTTGAATGTTGATTGATAGCTTCTTTGACTATTTTTAATTATTGCTGAAGAGATTCAACTTCGACTTGGCGCTCAACTAACATTTGTTCTAATTCGCGGAATTTCTTTGAAACGCCGTCTCCGGTGAAGAGGCTTATTTTTAATTTTTTAGAAAGTTCTTCTAGTTGAGTTGATTTCGACATTAAATCATCTCGTAATTGTACTAATTCTCCCCGCAATTTATTGGCGGTTTTCTGTTCTTCTTTCATTCGACTTTAAGCAGCTTGAGTTTGCTTTTCTAAATGTTCTGATAATTGTACAAAGTTATCCTGTTCTTTTTGTCGGCGTCTTCTCAAAGCAGCACATTCGCGATGAGCGTCGTTTAATTGTTCTTCTAATTTTAATTTGCTTTCAGCGTCGTTTCTTTCAAGAGTAGCTTTGATAAGTTCAATATTGGTGTGAAGTAAATTATTAGAGTGCACTTCACGTTTCATAGACTCGCGCTCTTTTAATAACCTTTGTTCGGAATCGCGTAAAAGCGCGTTTTCTTTTTGGAGGTTATTAGCTTGGACTTTTTGTCTACTTAACTTCGTGTGAGCTTCAAGCACGTTTTCTCGGAGATATTTAGCGCTAATTTCATGTTTAGTAATTGTTTCAGTGTATAATTTATTGCGCTCCTCTAATTTTTCAATTTGGTTTTTATAAACAGCCATATTATTTTTTAAAACTTTAAACAATTCGTCCATGGTTTCAAGTTTGACCGCTAATTTAGTGTTTTGAATCATCATATCTCGCAGATTTCCGCGCGTTTTTTCATGATCCTCAATCAGCAATTTTTCATTCGTGGCCTTTTCTTTTTTATATGTATCATATTCATCTTTAAGAAGTTTTAATTCCTTTATTAAACTTCCATTTTGAGATTCGAGTTCTTGAATTTTCTCGTCGTTTCCTTGACTAGTCTCGTTTTCTTATTCTTTTGAACTGGCGGAGCCATTTTTCGCAAACATTCTCTCACCGGAAATTGTGTTATCGCTTGCCCCTTTATTATTAGCCAATTGTATGTATAAATTTCTGCACATGTCCCTTTGGTTCGTAAGCATTCCCATCAATTTGCTTTGTTTATCGTGTTGTTCTAAAAGATCCGCTTGTTCTTCGCGCATTTTTTCCAATTTTGTTCTTAAAGCCGCAACTGTCGCAGCATCAATATCTTCGACGTCTTTTTGTTTAGAACTAAGCTCGCGAACGAGTACCAGCAAACGTTGATTATTGGTTTGTAGCTCACTGATGTCACTAAACGTAACCAATCGTTTTGAAATTATATCAGCGGAAGACGTTGTATCACTTAAATCGTGGTCTGTTGAGTTGCTGGAACTACCAGATCGGAAATTTTCTACTTCTCGCAATAAATGACAAACTTGACGACCTAAATCTTGAAGTTCCTTTTTTAAACGGGAGTTTTCACGAGTTGCTACTCCTTCGAGACGTTTTGCTTCACCTGCATTTTCTTTAAAATTCTGCAAAAAAGTGTAGTACATAGATAAGTTGATGGAATCATCATTTTTCTCTCCGCCTTACTTAATTTAGGTGATAGAGACTTGAAAATACGATGAAGTGAATTTTTATTAAAACCTAAAACAAATTTGGTCTAACTTGGTGTGATAACAGTCTTCCACTTTCTCCCAAAATTTTTCAAAGAGAACCTCTGGCATGTCTACTCGATTAGAATATGCCTAACTTGGAGGTGGTCTATCTTGCTATAGCAATTCGAATTTGTTGATCTTTAACTATTCTTGTTAATAATTTGTAGAAGGTGGATAGTAGGCTGATCGGTCAGTAATTTTCCACATTTGGGCAGTTGCCTTTTTTTTGAACATCCTCTTTTTCTGCAGGCATCTGTTCAACAGGATGTTTCTCTCTCATCTTGGACATTTGCCTGCTAGTTTGTGGGGACTGTGATTATATACAGGGTGTATCAGATATAAGTACAAAAAATTTGAGAGGTTATAGGTCCTCTTTCTGAATAAAAAATTTTTATAACACAATGTCCCATTCTTTGTCCATCTTAAGATATGATACGATAAAGTTAAGGGTTCACAAGTTTGAGTACTAATGGTTAATGAATTATACTAAGCAGGCTTTGTTTTGTAATTTGTAATTTGTTTCTAGTTTTGTAATTTTGTTGTTTTTAATACAATAAGCAAGTTTATTTATTAAAACCTAAATTTTTGTACATTTTCACATTAAAGACTGATAAAACAGAAGTGGTAAAATAATTTGCATTCATATATTGCGAGTTATATGAAATTCCCGGTGTATTAATTTATCTAAAAGTGTAAAGACAACAAACACTGGCACTGAGACAAATGTTTCTAGTTCTAAGAGCACCAAGTCAAAAAATGAGGGCTTCATAATTAGCTGTAACATGTAAACGTAAACTTAGAGTGTTAAATAAAGCACATCGCACCTTTATACGCAATTTATTTAATAAAAACAATAATTTTTTTTATAATAATAACAATTTAAATTTATGTCACTTGAGTGTCAATGATGTAATATTGGTGGCCTAATCGCGATAATCACCTGAAATGTAGATTTTTTATTTCAATTATATACGTACTAATCTATAATAAATAATATACATTAAATATTTTACGAATTATATAAATTAATTTGAATTAAAATTAAATTAATTTCACATAACATTAAAATTTTGCGCCATCTATCCAAATCAAATATAATTATTGTTGCTATTATTATTTGTTGAATCTAAAAAATATTATTTATTCATAAAATTTCTTGTTTTAAATATTCATAATTAAATTGTTCTTTAATTTAAAATATTTATGATGATCATCCCGCTTTATTTCATTTATTACTTACTTAATTTTTTTTAATTTGTATTAAAATTGAATAAATAAAATATTTTATTTATTTAATAACAAATAAATACAATTAATTTGTGATTTAATTTAAAATAAAAATAAAATAATAAGTTAAGTTTCGTTAGTGTGGCAACACCGCGATTATCAATCAACGCAGTGCCGCCAACGCATCTGGTTCGGGCGAAGTTGTTATTTTTGCTATCGCTACGTGTGGTTGGGTTTTTCAATATACTCGAACTAGGTTTTCGCGTTCACCGATAAATTAAATCGTCCCTTTAAAAAAAACGTTTGTTCGCTTCGGAACGAAGCGGTGATGCGAAACGTTACGTGATTGTGGCCGTTTGAAAAGAGTGCTAGTTTTTTTCACTCCTCCAACCGAAAAGACAGTCGTCGTGTGGCCTTGTGCTGTCAATTCGGCCGCTTGCCGAGAGTTCCAGCGAGATACACCCAAATATTCTAAACATATTAATATTAAATACACTTTGGGTCAGTTTTCGTTTTAATTTGGGTTTGTGAACCAAGGCGGGGTTATTATTTAGCGATCATGCAGGCGATAAAATGTGTGGTTGTTGGCGATGGGTAAGTTTTTATTTTAAACACCGAGGAAAGAATATTTACAAGATGTATGTATTTGATATAAAGATAAGAATGATAAAATTTAAGTTTCATTTTAAAGTATAGATAACGATTTTTCCGTAAGATTAATATTTAGATTTTTAGTAGCAGTTGAATTGAAATAGTTATATTCGTTTTGTTTGTTTAGAAAACGCCCTTTGATTGCTTATAATTTATTTGTTTTAAATTACACAAAGCTTAGTTATCAAATTACAAATACAAAGATGAATCATTCGTTTAAAATACCCGCGTTAAGCGATAAAAGAGACAATTTAGTAATATAGAAACGTTTATATCACGATTTTCTATATTAATAATCTTAATTGATGAGGAAGAAGTTAATTTCGCTTCTTGTTTAGAGCCCGAAACGCATTCACGCGAAGTTGCAGCTGTTGAATTGACACTTATAAAAACGCAGCGTCCCTCAACAGGTGGTTGCATCTGACTCTGTATTGAACTGATCCCCTTTTTATTTCTTAAATGGGTTACTGGTTCAATTCGATGAAAATTTTATCGAATTTAACGATTTCGCTTCGTTAATAATCGATTCAAGTTCTGGTAATTGAAGGTTGTTATCGATTAACGAGTCGCTATCATCGAATTCCAAGGAAATTTCAAATTGCGGTGACTAAATCGCGTTAAGGAAAAACGAGCCTGTAAACATTTATTTATTACTCACTTTATTCAACCTATAAATAAATTCAATTTATTTAAAACGCTTCCATATCTTATTTGGAAAATTTTTTAGATAAAAGGATGGGAATATGTAATCGGAATGTTGGATTGTGGGATGTGTAGAGATGTAGCACTTCCTGTTAGATTAAAATGGAAAATTTAATTGTATACGCGTGAGAATCGTACGAATGTACATATAAACGATGATGATTGTTGTTTTTAAACTTTTATGGTTTTGTTTTAGATAACATAGAGGATAACTCCAAAAGTTCTTTTGAAAAATAAATAATGGTGGCTTTTTTATGTTTTGATGTTGTCTAATTTCAAAATTGGCGTTTCTTAAGAAATATGATACCTGTGTGAACTTTGTTGTGATGATACAACATAGCAGTTCGTGACATCCTGGTTTTTGACACTATAACAATTTAAATGGGTTCTTTATTGCTGTGGAGAGCTTCAGAAATAAACAATAAACCTTTTCACTGTCTAATTCTTCTCTGATTGTAGGTATCTTTCTGTTTGTGTAGTGTGTTCATCAGCTATTATACAGTTGTTTTTTAACAAGAATGATTAGGAGACTTCTAAACTTCAGATAAATATTCTGCTTATTTACACCACACTCAAAGGTGTAATTTAATGAAGGGAATGGACCACACTCAAAGGGTTGTTGGGTCAAATTTTAGTAATTTGTGTAGTTCAATATTGCATGAACATGATATCAATAGTTTCTACCAACCATTTGTGGTAGAAACTTGCCTAAATTCTTTCTTCATTTCTTCTTAACTAACATCCACTTTTCAAAAGGGACAGAAAGGTGCATCCATAAACATTTTCACAGACAGTTGGGCCACCCTAAAGGCAAGTCAGGCCTACATGTGTAGCTCTCATAAACCAAGGGGCAATGATGTTACTCTATGGTGGGTTCCAGGTCACAGAGACTTATTCTGCCATTGATGTTTTACTTCTAGATCAGATAATTTATTTCTGCCTTTGATATTAACTTCTAAACATTTCATTCAAGCTATGATATGTTGCTTTCATGCCTAATAGTACTTTTGCGCCTACTTGTTTTACTTTTTTTCCTGATTTTTAGCTCCTGAACATGGTATATTGTTTTTGCGCATTAAGTATTCTTCTGTATCTGTTAATGGTTTTGATTCTGCTNACTCTATGGTGGGTTCCAGGTCACAGAGACTTATTCTGCCATTCATGTTTTACTTCTAGATCAGATAATTTATTTCTGCCTTTGATATTAACTTCTAAACATTTCATTCAAGCTATGATATTTTGCTTTCATGCCTAATAGTACTTTTGCGCCTACTTGTTTTACTTTGTCTCCTGATTTTTAGCTCCTGAACATGGTATATTGTTTCTGGACATTAAGTATTCTTCTGTATCTGTTAATGGTTTTGATTCTGCTTCAATATCGCATGATAAATACGTTTGATAAATTAGGTGATAATCTATTAGGTGCTAAAGCTGAGCGAATTTTATATGTTAGGTTCAGCAGTATAATTCCGCAGTATTATGGTGTCATCTCTGCTTTCCAAACCATAAGTACCAACCCATGAATTCTGAATTCTTTCTTCCTTGCTTAATGCAATTTGGTGTCTTTCTCATAACCATGAGCTTCCGTCAGAAACACCTTCCGTGTGTTCTTTCAACACGCTCTTCTGCACTGCGAGAAGTTTTCCATCCTTATCTATGCATCCGCTTCCCTTGGACTGAAAGATGCATCCATAAACATTTTCACAGACAGTCGGGCCGCCCTAAAGGCAATTTAAGGCTACATGTGAACCCTGCTACCCTCATGAACCTGAGAGAACTCGTTAGGGGCAATGATGTTACTCTATGGTGGGTTCCAGGTTACAAAGACATTGAGAGTAATGAGAAGGCGGACAAGCTGGCCAAAAAGGCAGCAAAAACGTCCTTCATTGGACCGCAACCCGGTTGTGGACTACAAAAAAAGCGACCTCAAACAAGTAATCAACAGTTGGGAGTCCTCAAAGGTAGCTTTACGCTGGAAAGAACTTCCAGGGCACAGACAAGCGATGAGTATGATAACTCCGTCCCAAAACAAACCCAAAGTTATTATGCCTCAGCTCTCAGGTTTCCTGACCGACCATGCGTCCCTAAAATACCACCTCTTCCACATTGGACAAGCTGAGAATCAAACTTTGCAACGACGAGTCACAACATTTTCGGTAAAGCTCTTTTGACACCTACCGACATAAAAAAACAAGACTTGGGAGCAATACTAAGGTTCATTAAGAACCTATATTTGCCTTAATCTTTTGGAGGGCTAAAGTTACAATAGATCTTATAGGTCGCGGTGACGAGGGGGGCCGCTCTCCTCAGCTCGGCAGCAATAATAATAATAACATCCACTTTATCAAAAAGCTAATGGATTGAAAAATAGATTATTTTAATGTTAGTATTGTGATCACAGCAGCAAATATTCTATGACTGCGAAATGTGGTACTGGAAGCATGTTTTGTCATATTGTTTGCACAGTTGGGAGACTTTTAATTAATGAAATTCTTTAATCTGTCAATGTTTAATTCTGGTTTAAAGTTCGAGATGAACATTTGTCTCGTCTACTTTTTTAGCGTTCCCACGCAGTTTCTCTTGGAGAATTCATGCAAAATCTGCTTATAAACTCGCGGACAGATCTGGAAACAATACGGAATAAGGCCCAGTTTTCCTCTTAAACTAAATAAGATGTTTGATGTGCTGAATAAACAAGTTTCTAAGGTAGAAGTTGACAAATGTGGCAGTATATTTGGCTTTTTTTGTCATTTTTATAACTTCCTTCTGCTTCATTTTCTTTCTTTCTACGTTTGATAAATTACTTCTGCCATTGATATTTCACTTCTAGATATGATCATTTGTTTCTGTGCATTAAGTTTTCTTCTGCACATGTCAATAGTTATAATTCTGTTTCTATTTCTTTGCTTGTATGCTTGACAAATTACTTTTACCATTGATGTTTTACTTCTAGATTAGATAATTTATTTATATCTTTGATGTTAACCTCTAAACATATTCAAGCTATGATATTTTGCTTTCATGCCTAATAGTACTTTTGCGCCTACTTGTTTTACTTTTCTCCTGATTTTTAGCTCCTGAACATGATATATTGTTTCTGCGCATTAAGTATTCTTCTGTATCTGTTAATGGTTTTGATTCTGCTTCAATTTCTTTGCTTCTACGCTTGATAAATTAGCTGATAATGTATTAGATGCTAAAGCTGAGGAAATTTAAATGTTACGTTCAGCAGTATAATTCCTTCATCTAGCTAATTGCCTTTTTTATGTATTGGTATAATTAATTCTTTTCGCCATTCATCCGGTGTCATCTCTGCGTTCCAAATTATAAGCACCAACCCATGAATTCTCTCCCAACGCGCTGTCGCAGTATCAGTATCTGGAATTTTATTGTTTTTTAACTTTCTTATGCTTTCCTCGATTAATTCCTTGCTTGGAGGCTACAATTTTAGTTAATCCAATACAAGCAACACCTGGAGCTGTTCTTTTTATTGGTTCCATACGCTCTCCTGCACTGTGAGAAGCTTTCCATCCTTATCAATGCATCCGCTTTCCTTGATTTAAACCTCCAAGTAATGTTATTTGCTTATCTGTACATTTTTTTGTATTCCTTGTTATTGCTGTGACCCTCCAATGTCCTTATTCTTTTATTATAGTGTTATCTTTTCTTTCTTCTGCACAATTTTGTTACATTTCTTCTTTGTGCTGCATTCTCTTTCCGTTTGCTTCTTCTGAGTCTTTGTATATATTGAAATCTTACGTCATTTTTCCTTTTTATTACTTTCCTGCATTCTTCATCATACCATTTCTCCTTCCTTTCTCTTTCAACTCGCCCAATTGTCTCTTTTATTCGACTTTTTATTCGTCCGTCCTTAAGCATGCTACCTGTTGGTAGTGATCAGAGTCACAATTTGCTCCCCGTTCTGATCTTAACGTGGGTTATAAACAGAGCTGCGACGTTGTCGGGCAACTCATAAGCGGCTCGTCGCCTTACGGTAGAGACCACAGAATAACCAGAAATGACACTGACGTCGATTCCTTTGTTGTTGGCGGCACCTGGTTTTGTAACCCCGATTAAAAGCCGCCATCTTGCTGAGAGTCGGCAGACCCGTATTAGCACAGAACGTAAAGACTCGGGCCACATGGACCACATCACGCCACATATAGTATACCACGCCACTGGTTGAGTTTTAGTCAGACAATCGGCCAAACACGTATTGAATGCTGCACCGCAGAGAACCCCCCAAATTTTACATGGGCCAGCATTCAACCAGTAACGATACGTTGCGGCACAACGATGTGCTCGATAGAAGCATGTTACTACTACGCTATAACCCGTTCGCTGCTCTATACAGATGGTGACATCAACAGCCCGAAACGTCGTGGCTCTGGTTATAAAGGAAGCTCTTCCTTTTTTTGATACTTATTTGATTGCAGCGCTGGCTTCCCGGTACTTTCCAGGTTCCATTGTAAAAATTTTTATGGTCGAAGCATATGCTGCTGATTACAAGGTTAAGTGTTTCTGCGAGTTGGATTGCACTAATAATGGTACACATTGTATTTGGGTTTTATAGCAGTGCTATTATTTTCTTCTATTCTCCTTCAACTCATCACATTCTATCAGCAGATGGTTTAAACCTTTGATTATATATAATATGGATTGAGCTAACTGGATATATCTACTAACAAAAATGTGGCTCAAGGTGAACAAAGATAGATATATTATATGTCAGTACGCTTCTATATCTATCTCGTTTCTATCAGTACACCCATTATATGGCAGTACGCTTCTATATCTCTCGTTGGCTCAATCCATATTATATATAATCAAAGGTTTAAACATTCCCAGCTCTGCCACACAGTCTACACCCCCTCTCCTAATCCTCCATGCAATATCTATTGTTTGTCTCTTCGTCATCAATACTAAATTTGGCTACCCACCTCATTCCCCTCCGCCATCAAGTACTTCGGTAGCCCGTCTCTGTTGTAAAGCCACTATAGCTACGCTATGTGTATGTATGGATTGGGGAGTGCATGCAAAACCGCACGCCACACTTAGGCCCCTTATGCATCCTCCCATTACACACTCTGGTCATATCAACCAGCCTAAGGATTTACCAGAGGCTAGGACAGCTCCTAGAGGTGCATTCCTGATGTCCTCCCCGAAGGTCCTCATTCTGAGGTCGGTCAGAGAGGGGCAATCACACAAGATGTGTTTAGCCGTGTCGTCATCCTGTTCACAGGCTCGACTGAGAGGGGAGTCAGCAAGCTTCATGTTTTGAAGGTGCTTATTTACGTTACAGTGTCCCGTGGGGAGACCTGTGGCAGTGCGAAGGGTACTTTTACCGAGTAGCAGTCTACCTGGTTGGTAGTGGTTTAGTTCCACTACCAGCCACTAGGTGGCGCGTTACTTTTTTTAAAAGTCACCAGATCTAGTTACTNCTACTACTGTGGGACTGACGTGGGTGAGGTACTTCTTTGAGAAAACATATTTTGCTGGTCTGTGATCAGTCTTACACTCGAGTAGGGGTGTGTCTAACACTGCTTCCCCCCAGAGTGTTGAACTGCTGCCAGCATCTTCATCCTTCATAATTCCTACTGATTGTAGTCTTTTCATGGTTACCAACGCCACTTCCTGCATATGTAGGTTGAGTGGTGGTAAATTTAACATCTCTGTCTTCTTGGTATTGACGGAAAGGCATTGTTTATTACACCAGTTCTCAATTAGATTGAGTGCTTTCTGCATCCTGTCGAGGAGTACGTTAGCGTACTTGCCTCTTGAGGATTGTCAGGTCATCTGCGTAGCCAACGGTTTTAAAACCGGCTGGGTTTAGGCGTTTCATGAAGCTATCGAGGGTGAGATTCCACAAAAATGGAGACAGCCCTAGTAACAGCCCCTTGAAGAGTGGTCTGGGCAGCCCTTAATTTGACGACCCTATGTCTTAGAGTACTCTTAATCCAGCCGCACAGTGCCAGAGGAACGTTATGCTCTAACAAGGCGTCGTTAATTCCGGAGAAGGTAGTTCTATCAAAAGCTCATTCCACGTCAATAAAAACCCCGAGGGCGGACTCCTTGTGGTCCAGCGCATCACCGACGAAACTGATCACTGAGTGAAGAGCCGTCAGTGTGGACTTTCTTTGTGTGTAAGCATGTTGATTAGAGTATAGTGGCCTGCTGGGCAGACAAGGGTCACTAATGTAACGGTCGCAAAGCCTCCCCAACGTTTTTAGTAGAAAGGAGGAGAGGCTAATTGGTCTATAGGACTTCAGAAGGAAGTAATCTTGCTTACCCGGTTTAGGTATAAAGTTGACATCACGCCAACTTCCCGGTACATAGCGAAACGCCAGGAATCGTTGGAAAATACTCTTCAGGTGCGGTATCAGGTCATCCAGTCCCCATTGTAAGAGGGCCGGTGTAATCCCGTTCGGTCCTGGAGTTTTGAACGACGAGAACGTATTCACAGCCCACCGTATTTCTTCTCCTCGCAGATGACTTTGGCCAAGAGTCATTCATCCGCAGTTGGTACATGAATTATTATTTATCATTTATTGCCACAGACAAAAAAAATACAAAATTACATAAGATACACTTAACTTAAACAGTATCAGCAAATGGATCATTTTATCGCACAAGCGATCTCTGCCAAATGACCCAACAGAACAAACAAAAATAAAAATAGTATTTGCTGAATATGGCAAGTAGTGACAATTAGATATTATTAACATCACCAAATAAGATTAAGCAAGAAAAGAAAAACAAAGAGAAAAATAAAGAAAAGACACAAAAAGAGAGATAGAGAGCGACTAAAAGAAACTAAAAGAATCTGCCGGATATCAGTTGCCAACAAGTGAGAGCAGTTGAAGAGAGGAAAAAAAGAGAAAGACAAAGAACAAAGAATCAGGAAACAGCCAGTTGAAGGGCAAGCAAGTGGCTCTTTAAAACATGTCTAAAATTAGTAATTCTAGAAATATTACGAATTTCAGAAGGCAGTCCATTCCACAGCGCAATCGACTGTACTGTAAATGATCTATGATAAATTTCAGTGCTATGAACGGGAAATGTAAGAATAGTATCAGAACGTGAACGAGTAGCAAGCTCATGAGTTGATAATTGCTGGAACCTATCTGATAAGTACTTTGGGGTGCAGTTATGAAGGATTTTAAATAAAATGGTTAATAAACGAAAGGATCTACGTCTCTCACAGGTTAACATCTGAATGTAATTGCGATACGGCGTTACATGCTCAAATCTATTTAGGTCAAATATGAACCGGATACAATTATTTTGTAGCCGCTGCAATTTACTCAGAAGAGTCACCGAGAGATCGGGATAAACCGCGTCCGCATAGTCGAAGTGAGGAAATATAAGAGAGTAACAAAGATTACGACGCACCACAGGAGGAAGAGAGCAGCGAAGTCTTTTTAAAGAGTGGAAGCAAGCATAGACTTTTCTGCAAACATGTTGAATTTGCGGTTTCCAAGACAGTGCAGAATCCATAAGGACTCCAAGATTTTTAACTGTGTTAGAAAACCGTATGACATTACCATCCAGCATCAGATCACTGCAGGCAGATGGATTAATCTTACCAAGTAATTGACGAGTTCCAAACACAATAGCTTGCGTTTTAACTGAGTTCAACTTAAGTCCGTATCTCCGAGACCAGTTCAAGACGTTAGATAGATCGTTATTAAGTCGCACAATAGCTGCCGGAAATTCAGCAACAGTAGTAGTAGTATATATCTGCAGGTCGTCGGCATACAAATGATAATTACACGAGATATAATTAGTAACACTATTAACGAACAAAGAAAAAAGTAACGGACCCAATACACTGCCCTGAGGAACACCACATTTGATTGCACAAGCAGAAGAAATTGAAGAGTTAGCGCGTACGCACAAGGAGCGATGGGAAAGGTAGGATTGAAACCAAGAAACACAGGGGGGAGTGAATCCGTAGGCAGAAAGAGACGCTAAAAGAAGGCTGTGGTCGACAGAATCAAAAGCCTTGCTGAAATCGAGCAGTACCAGCACAGTAACACATCTGTTGTCGCAGGCATACCTAATATCATCAGTAACTTTAATGAGAGCAGTAGTTGTACTATGCCCACTGCGAAAACCCGATTGCAACTCATTGTGTAAATTAAACCTCTCTAGAAATCCTTGGACTTGTAAATAAACTAAGCGTTCAAGAGCTTTTGATAGTACGGATAAAATTGAAATCGGACGGAAATCAGTGTTACATGAAGAGGACTTGGATTTGGGTATGGGAACGACATGAGCAACCTTCCAGACAGAGGGAAATAAAGACCGCTCAAAAGAAAAGGTGAAGATATGAGTTAAGGGAGGAAGCACTATATCCAGGATAGGAAGAAGAAGGTTGAGACCAATACCATCAGAACCCACGCAAGGGGACTTCGAATAAGTCAAAGCATCGCCTACTAATTAAACTACTAATTATCTACTAATTATCTCTTGTTGGACATCGTTAAAGTTGTCCGAACCTGAGAAATGAACAATCATTAAAAGCTGTAAACTGTCTTGAAGGTCATCAATACGTTGAACAGGGCTCGAAGCAAGCACCTTTTTTAGGCAGGAGACCTCTGCAGAGGAAGTAATTTCCTCACAGAAGTTCTCTCATGCTTCTTATAGCTACGCTATATCTATAGATTTCATCAACAATCATCTGCATTATTGTTTGCCTTTGTCGTTGTCAGGTTGCGTAATATATGTCTTTTACGGGATTGGGCTTGTTAGATCCAAGTCCAACTTCTTTTCGTTGGGCCATTTCTACCGCATCTTCGATTACCAGGGTTTACCACGTGGAGGTGAGAGTTGGAATTGAGTGTGAGAAGCTATGCGATGATATTAACTTCCAAATATTATATCCAAGCTATGATATTTGCTTTTTCCTTTTTTAATTTTTGATTAACATCTATATTATGTCACTTAGCAATACAATAATTACGGGCACTACAATAACATTTATTTTGTTGTATCTAAACAAAGGTAATTTAAATTTAAAAGAGTCATATTTTCATGGTTACATTGAATCTTTTTTTAGTTTGAAGTGTTTTCGTTATAACATCGAATAACCCAGCGAATGTAAACCTAATACTTGAGAAATCTATTTTTGAACTTTTATGTTTAATCATGTTTATTTATTATTAGGTAAATTGATTTTAACTTTTCTTCATTTCAGTGCCGTTGGTAAAACATGCCTTTTAATTAGTTATACAACAAATGCTTTTCCCGGGGAGTATATCCCAACGGTTTTCGACAATTACTCGGCGAATGTAATGGTAGATGGGAAACCGATTAATCTGGGTTTATGGGACACAGCCGGGCAAGAAGATTACGACAGGCTGCGACCTTTATCTTACCCTCAAACCGACGTCTTCTTGATATGCTTTTCGTTGGTAAATCCGGCTTCGTTTGAAAACGTCCGAGCCAAAGTAAATTTTATAACCCCATTAATAATTTTTTTTTAATTTATTCCTTATTTTAATCCGTAGTGGTACCCTGAAGTAAGACACCACTGTCCCAGCACGCCAATAATCTTAGTTGGGACAAAATTGGATTTGCGCGATGATAGACAAACAATTGAGAAGTTAAAAGATAAAAAATTGGCCCCAATTACATATCCACAAGTAAAATTAACAATTAATTAATGTTTTTAATTAATTAATTTGGATTTTTTGTATAGGGTTTGGCTATGGCAAAAGAAATAAGCGCTGTAAAGTATTTGGAATGTTCAGCATTAACTCAAAAAGGATTAAAAACGGTGTTTGATGAAGCAATAAGGGCGGTACTGTGTCCAGTAATGCAAGTGAAGCCGAAACGCAAATGCGTCATCCTTTAAAAGGGTCGCAAATAAAATTTTAAGAGGCAATTGACCCTTTCAAAGTCATCGGACCAGCTACACACCGCGTATTAACACAAATAATTTTAAAAAATCAAGAAAAAATAATGTCAGTCAAGTTAATAAATAAACGTTTCGATTGTTGTTTATTATTTTCGATCGATTTTGTAGCTTTGTATTTTCTTCTATTTTTTTTTTTGTGTAATTACTTTATAATTATTAATATAGTTAAAGCTAATTGATTTTTTTATAATTAACATTTTTTTGTAAGAAGTAGTGTCGCAATACAGTGAGAAAAGATTTAAAAAGCGTTATAGTAATTATTACATGAGAATAATGATTATTTTTGGAGAAATTTTTTTAGGTCATTTTTAAGTTTATTACTAAAGCGAAGTAGGAGACGTAATGTGTAATAATGTTGTTCATGTTATGAATTTTCTTTTCATCATCATGAATTTGAAGTAAAATCAAAATTATTTTTAACGTTTTTTGTGAAATTCTTTTTTTAACAACTTGTTTTATTACGATTATTAATCGTATTTGTTATTAATTTTCGTAATATGTATAAATAAAAAAAAAATAAGTATATACATATTAAAAAAAAATTTTTTTAAATCCGCAGTGTTTTTATATATTTTTTCTCTTATTTTTAAATCGTTAAAACATAATTGTTTCTTTGTTCTTTGGGTTAAGATTGAAATATACCAATTTATGCAAGATATTTCAATGATTATTAAATAATTATAAACTTGAAATATCTTCTATAATACAATAAACAAGAACGAAATAGAATGAGGAGACAATAGTTAAAAAAAAGCATGTAAACTACAACAAAAAAAATCTTTAATAAGATACACACAAAAAAAAATTCTTTTTTCAAAAAAAATAAAAAAAAAAAAAGAAAAATTAAAGTTTGTGTCAAAAAATAAGCATGATGTGAAAACGATAAGCTAATTAAAAAAAACTAATGTGAATATCTGAAGCTCTTTGTCATGTTGTTGAGTAAGCTTGTTTATTCTATAGGTAATAAACGGTAAACGTAAATTAAACGAGAAAAATAAAATTCGAACGTGGAAAATGTTAATGACGTTCAGCTTAGATATAATAAGTAGAGAAGAATAATGGTGATTTATTCGGAAAAATGTATTTTTGTAAGTTCGCTTCTTTCGGTAACCAAATGACACACACGAGTTCGTTCGGTTTTAAAAAGCTCTAAAACTTGTTTGTTTACACGATTTCTTTTGGATTAATTCATAACATGAAATATAAGTGTGATGCAGTTATACTTTACATAACAGAATTTTTGTGTATTTTGTAAATACTAAATATTATTGAATATTATAAGATTTATAAATAAACGTATACATGTAAAAAATAAGTTTTTTTTATTAATGTAAATAATATTAAAACTTTAGGTAGTTTTTTAGTCAAGAACGTTGGATTTGGAATTTGTTTGTTAAATCTGAGGTGCTATCCCTCTTTAAGATCAATCTTATCATGAGTGGAAGCAAGGGCGTCGCCAGAGAGGGGCAAAGGGAGGCCACTGCCCCCCCTAGAGGTAGATTCGAAAAAAATTTAAAACGCAATAAATATACATCTCGAGTACTGAACCAAGGTTTATATATTAAAGGTTGTCTAAGTTCCTATGCTGCAATACTTTGATTTTAGTTTGTGGGCGAGGGGCAAGAGCAGGAGTCGTGACGTAAGCTATCACGGATTGCGCACGCAACCTCATGGCCATGTGGTGCTCCATGCCACGTAATGCGCAGTATGGTTGCGTACGAACCTAGACAACCTTTTATATATAAACCTTGGTACTGAACAACCTGAACAACTATCGAATGGGATGCCATATTTTGATCAAGGAAGTTCAAGAAGTATTCCTCGGATTCGTCAAACTTGATGCTTTGGATGCGAAATGTATTGCAAAAGCAATAGATGAGTTTTCGGCAGAAGAAGATCTTGATCTGGACAAATGTGTTGGTTTAGAATTTGACGGTTGTTCGACGATGTCCGGGAAAGAAGGTGGTGTGCAAGCAATCCTACGGAGAAAATATAAAAAAGCTTTATGCTTTCATCAAAGGAAGGTACCATCAAAGATATCATTACAATTTTTCAAGAATCAATTTGCGCCTCAATTGATACCAAATATTTCCAAGCTTTGCGAAACAAGGTGGAGCGAGAAACACAAAAATAGTTGTGTTTTTAATGAGAATTTTCCTATTATAATGGAGGCCTTTGAAACCTCGTCACGGGAAGAAAATAAGAATAAATAATACGACTAGAAAAAATAGTTACCAGCTCCATGCAGCAGCTTCTAGAGTTTCGTTTATTCTCAGCTTTATTTTGATAGCCAAATACTCGGCTATGATAGAACCTGTGGTAAACGTGCTCCAATCCGTAGCTTTGAATGCAGTTAAGGCATCCCAGCACATTAGCCGCCTTTTGGAATTTATAGAAAACCACCGTAACGGTCCAGAAAACATCACAAATGGAATTATTAGGGACGCTACTATCGTTGCAGATAAACTTGGACTGGGAGAAGACATGAAGTCCTTGTCCCGTATTGTTGAGAGACAACAACATCAGAACAACCACCCAGCAGCAAGCCCCTCAAAATTCTGGCGGAGGTCTTTAATAATACCATACTTATATTCCATTATTAATTCTTTTGAAGTTCGCTTTTCTGAAAAAAACACCCCGTCATTTTCCTTATGTAAATTACACTCAGCTCAAATGTTAGACATGTCCCTTGAAGACCTCGTAGAAGTTGGCGCAGTCTTTTCCCAATTTTACAATTTATCAAATATCAACAACGAAATCGAACTATGGAAAAAACTATGGCAAGATAAACCTGACTCAAAAGAATTAAGTGTTGTGGATGTCATAAAAGATGCCGACATTTTTTTTCCTGAAACGAGAAAAGCCTTTAGAATTTTGGCCACTTAGCAGCTTGAGGACAATAAAACCTGGCTTAGAAGCACTATGACAGAATGTCGTCTCAATGGTCTTCCCATAAAGAATGTGTATAGGAAGCATATTTTTGAAAACGTTGAGGGTTTTATTAATAATCTGGTTGACCAATTCGCGAAGAAGCCACGAAAATTATGTTTTAAATAATTTGGTATAATTTGGCCCACTGGCTGGCGACGTCCTTGAGTGGAAGCTTTTAGGGCAGTTGGAAATGTGTCCCACAAGAGACCAGAATCAGCATGGGCCTTTAGAATACCTGCAAACATCAATGTAAACTGAACTTCAATTTTACCATCTCCTAGGTAGTTTTTTAGTCAAGAACGTTGGATTTGGAATTTGTTTGTCAAATTTGAGGTGCTTTTCCTGTCCGGGGATCCATCTTATCGTAAGTGAAAGCTTTTAGAGCAGTTGAAAATGTGTCCCACAAGAGACCAGGACCAGCACGGACCGTTAGAACACCTGCAAACATTAATGTAGACCGATCTTCAATTTTACTATTTCCTAGGTAGTTTTTTAGTCAAGAATGTTGGATTTGAAATTTGTTTGTCAAATTTGAGCTGCTTTTCTTGCCCGGGGATCCATCTTATCATGAGTAGAAGCTTTTAGAGCAATTGGAAATGTGTCTCACAAGAGACCAGAATCAGCACGGACCGTTAGAACACCTGCAAACATCGATGTAGACTAAACTTCAATTTTACCATCTCCTAGGTAGTGTTTTAGTTAACAACGTTGGATTTGGAATTTGTTTGTCAAATTTGAGGTACTATTCCTTTCCGAGGATCCATCTGATCGTGAGTGGAAGCTTTTAAGGCAGTTGGAAATGTGTTCCACAAGAGACCAGGACCAGCACGGACCGTTAGAACACCTACTAACATTAATGTAGACTGAGCTTCAATTTTACCATCTCCTAGGTAGTTTTTTAGTCAAGAATTGAATTTTAGTTGGATTTGGAATTTGTTTGTCAAATTTCAGGTGCTATTCCTGCCCGGGTATCCATCTTATTGTAAGTGGAAACATTTAGGCCAGTTGGAATGTATCCCACAAGAGATCAGAATTAACACAGACTGATGTTAGAACACCTGCAAACATTAATGCAGACTGAGCTTCAATTTTACCATCTCTAGGTAGTTTTTTAATCAAGAACGATGGATTTGTAATTTATCAAATTGGAGGTGCTATTTCTGCCCAGGGATTCATCTTATCGTGAGTGGAAGCTTTTAGGGTAGTTGGAAATGTACCCCACAAGAGATCAGAATCAACACAGACTGATGTTAGAATACCTGCAAACATTAATGTAGACTGAGCTTCAATTTTAAACGTTGGATTTGGAATTTGTTTGTCATATTTGAGGTGCTATTCCTGCCTGAGGTCCATCTTATAGTAAGTGGAAAGTTTTAGGGCAGTTGAAAATGTGCTCCACAAAAGACCAGGACCACCACGGACCGTTACAACACCTGCAAACATTAATGTAGACTGACCTCCAATTTTACCATCTCCTAGGTACTTTTTTAGTAAGAATGTTGGATTTGGAATTTGTTTGTTAAATTTGAGGTGTTATTCCTGCCCGAGGATCCATCGTATCGTGAGTGGAAGCTTTTAATGTAGTTGGAATTGTGTCCCACAAGAAACCAGAATCAGCACGGACCGTTTAGAACACCTGCAAACATTAATGTAGACTGAGCTTCAATTTTACCATGTCGTTGGAATTGCGTGAAGATGAAGTTAAATTGTTATGGTTACCAGTGGCGCACTGCGAGTTCAATGTAATCGAATTGATTTGGGCTTATTTAAAAAATCAAGTCGCAAAGAAAAATGACACTTTTAAAATTAAGGATGTTTTAAATTTATGCATTGAGACTATGAATACAATACCTCCAAATCTATGGGAAAATTGTGTACGCCACAGCAAACATAGAAAAGAAATATAGAGAAAAAGTCATTGTTAATATTAATGATAATGAAAGTTCTGATGAAAATTTTTCGTCAAATGAAGATTCTTCAGAAGACGAGTTGTTACAGTTACAGTGTCGTTGATGATAACACCGACACTTGCAATGTAGAAGATGCTTCGTATGCTGGCCCTAGCAATAGTACAACCGGAGAACCTCGATTTAACGAATTATTTGGTCTTGGTGGTAGATTATTAAGTAGAATTGTAAAACCGGCACAAAATATACGTCTTGGAATTCATCCAGAACCTACTCAAACAACTGTAACTGAACGAGATTATGTAGAAAAATAAAATGTATTGTTTAAAAATTTGTTGCATTGTATATTAGTAATAATAACATCTTTGTCTTCTTTAGTATAATGCTTATAGGCATGTCCGTAGGATTACTTGTATTACGTTTGCAAACTTATGAATGCAATTAAAAGAAATTATTTCAAAAATAAATGCAAAAAAATAACAAACATTTGTACAGTCGTTACAAATTAAGCCATTCCTGTCCTATACATTTAAAGATGCCTCCCCGCCACATAATGCCGAAGAGTCCCGGCGTAACCTTCCTCCGCTCCTCACACCCGCGGAAATCTCGCGAATTGATTTAACTCTCATTATAAAATCGCATTGAGTACTTCATGTACAATGAGGGTTAGCGTTTTATCCAATTTCATCAGGCGGTCAAAATGATGTTAGCCTCAATCTCATACGATAACCGGTTATCGAGATATCATTATTTTACATAATGTAGTTTTTTTTTAAAATGGATGTGAAAAATCAAAAAATAAAAACACTGGCATGTTTAGTACACTTTAGGCAATGTGGTCGAAATTTAGATTTTTTTCGATGAACCGTAAAAAAATCGCAAAGTCGAGCTTCTTCGCCGATCGTCCGAAATTGCGTACATTTTTTCATTATACCTGTGACAATTGAAGAGCCTGGTGCAAGAAGGGGATATACGTCAAATTTTAAGAAAATGTGATTTTTGTTAAAAATGGTTAAAAAAATTTGTATTTATCGTTTAACATAGATACGTATTATGTTCTGCCAATTGAATCAGAATTGTGAGAGAAAATCACTTATCCCGTGGTGTAGACGGGTGCAATAATGAGATAAGTTACGTGGCGTTTATACCGTTATTGCCCCAGACAATCCCATACTGTTATTTGCCCACCACACATAAATAATGACTTTTTTGTACCGTGAGGACAATACTGAAATTTTGTATATTGGTGGTGTTTGAATGATGTTTTATAATGTCATTCGCAATGTTTTGTAGCTTAGAGTTGACAGATTTTTAATTGAGCATACTATAGTTATGCCATTACGCAATGATGAGCTCGTCCAGTAAAAGTAACTTTACTAAAATGGATAGTGATAGGTCTGAAGAGAAAGAAAGAGTGAAACAGAAGCGCGGTCGTAAAAGAAATATGGAAACGAAATATACAAAAAATTAAAAGGGCTAGAGGAGAATGTTACAAAGTCCACATCAATGGTGAAGCTTTTGTCAGAAAAAGAGCAAGGCAATGACTGCAAGCGCAGAAAACGATGCGTTAGAAATTTTTCGGAAGAGGAAAAACTAAAAATTATAACGGCTTTTAATAACCTAGCAGACCAGGACAAACAAGATTCATATTTATCCAAGTTAATAACCGTAAAAGCGGTTGTTAGATGGTGAAAAAAAAGAAATAAAAAAATTAATAAGAAAATCATACAAATACAAGGTAGGTATTATTAAATTTATAACTTTTTATTCTATTTTGACAGTTTAAACTGTATTACCTTCTATGTGTACCTATGTTTGTATTAAGATACGAATTCACATAGAAGGTTGTCTAACATCAACGACGAGATGCAGTTTACATCATGTTTCTAAACTGTGATTTGTACAATAGATTTTAATGTCTTTACGCCACGTGAATTAAACATTGGGATTAAACCAGTAACGATGTCGAGGTTTGCAAAACTGCTGTATGCGTTCTTTATGGTAGTGGTAAGAAACGCATAGAACGCATAGCAAAGCATCGTTGTACCAACATTTTAAAAGAACATGTGAATGCGCATATCAACAGTGTCCCAAAACAATGTTTAGCCGCAACAGAACCACAAAATATTACCTGTCCAACGATTTAAACATATTAATAATGTACAATATACCTTCAAAAATACGAACCGGATATGCAACAACTAAAACAAGATAACCGTCCATACAAACCACAAATATCGTATGATTTCTATAGATTTCCGAGAAAATTTTAACATAAAGTTCGGAATGGCGCGCACAGACACTTGCAAAACATATGACATCTTAAATAATAAGAAAGAAAATGCAGATACAGAATAATAAAAGAAAAACTTTGAAGCGCTGCGCTGCATCAAACACACCTCCAAAAAACTGAGTTGTTTTATAGCGATTTTAAGGAAAAGTTTTTAGAAGCAATAGAAAATTAAAAAGTTGAAGTATTACTCGAGTACTGCAAAAAAGTCATAGTCCGATTCAGTGGCTTCTTCAGAGCTGTCGGTAGCTCTTTTTGATATCTTTTTCTTTTTGTTGTTAAAAATGGTTTTGTTTATTTTGTTTGATAAAAGTGTTTCCTCACCTTCTTTTAAATAATAAAAAGTTTTGAATGTTATTTGATCCTTTCTCCAACCTCTCCCAAAAAAAATGAAATATGGATTCACATATCGCCTTTTTGTATCACAATTTGTTTTTTTACTATGATTTCATAATATATGGAAAAACTGACATTTATTCAGATAAAACTGTCATTCTTATTTATACAAACCAAATCATCACTTTAAATACAAACATGAAATTAAAAAAAGTTTTTTCCCTTTACTGAACAATTTACATATTGTTACTTATTCCATTCTTGCACCTGGCTCTTCAATTACTATACGAGTGGGAGGAATAATTTGAAATTGCCACACATCATAAAGAATTAAATTTTGCGTCCAACAAAGGTGGTCTCGATTTTTTCTACGGAGTAGTTTTTTTGTTATTCGCGTTCAAAGTGAGGGGCAAAAACTTTTGAATCCGATAATAGATTCTAAAAGAAATAAGTGAGTTATTAAGCAATGCAATATTATTTCTTTCACAAGTATTTAGAATTTGGATATACATTTGGAAACATAATATAAATCGAAATTAATAAAAAATTTCTTTTTATTAGTACCTAATCATTATTGATTTACATTATTTCTAATTAATCAGTTACATTTTTTAATTGAACTTTTTCTCCCTCTTTTCCTTCTAAATATTTATCCCAATTATCAATCCTCTCAGAAATTTCAGCCTCAGTTTCAGCAATTTTATATTTAGTTTTTCCATCCCAAATTTCCGCAGTTAATTTCCTTTTACCAAACCACCGATTATTTAAAAGCAGAACAACGGCATCCGCTTCTTCGGGTTCTTTCATGTTAATTTGCGCCACACCTCCAGGATGTCGATCGTAAAGCATAACCTTACGTACCTCACCGCATTTCGAAGCTTCTTCACGTAAATCTTGTTGGAATTCCAATATAAGCCCGACGTCTTCATCGAAAAGTTTCGGTTCAAACAAATTTTTAATTATAACGACTTTTTCGTGTTTGGCACGTTCGCCGATTGGTTTTTCCGGTCTCCAATCGAATAATTTTTCTTGCATCCTTTTTAATTTTTGTTTTTCTTTACGTTTTTTCGTTTTCGGTTTAAGCTTTGGGTCGTATTCACCTTTTAATTGAAATTGGGCTCGTTCGACTTTAATTTTTTTATCTTTAAACATGGATCCATCCAAAAGTTTTAAAGCTAAATCAACGGATTCAACCCTTATGTACGTACATAAAGCGTCCCCTTTAAATAAATCGGTACCTGATTCTTTGTACATTTTTATTTTCATTTTGTGTGTAATGGTATCTCGCATAATTAAGCCATATTTTTGCATTAAATCTACAAATTCTTCTTCGGTTGTGTCTAACGGTAAATTACTTACATAAACTTTTGTGTTTTGTTCATCGTCTAAAGTAAACCAAGATGGTTCGGAGGCTTTTCTTTTAACACCTTTATGGTTTTCAACTTCTAATTTAATTTCTTCTTTCGATTCTTTTATTTCGATTTCTTTACTTTTTTCTGTTGATGTGTTATCGACAAAACCATAACTCATTTGGTATTTTGCCATAAAATCATCATTTATTTTTGGAAACCAAGCATTTTTTTCCTTATCCCAAAAGAATTTTGTTCCATCATTATCTGTATAAGTGTGAGTATCATCTTCAAATCCATACTCAACATTTTGAGCTTTTGCTTCCCACTTTTCGCTCTCTTTATTCCATTGATATTGATAACCTGATGATGGATCTGTGTAAATTGCTATATCTCCTTCATAATGTACATATTTAGGATCATATGTACTTTGAGACTGGGGTTGATTTTCATTCGGATTATCTCTAGCATCTTGAACAATTTCATTATTATCATTAGCTTCTTTATCAGTTTTTATCGTTTCTTTATTATTTTCTGAAGCATTTATATTTATAGAATTATTTATACTCGCTTTATTACTATTCTTCTCTTCTAATTCCATATTTTTTAATTAGTTTATCATAACCACAATAATAACCTTAAAATGTCAACGTCAACCTGAACATAACCTCACTTTATATAAATTTATGTTATTAAAATTTTAATTAAGATTATTATTAATTACAACTAAATTTAAATTAAAAATAAACAGTTGTAATAAACACAATGTTTTATTATTTCACACATTAACAAAATATTTAATTTCCTAGAAATATCCCGATTTTTTTTTATTAAATTGGAATTTAGTGACCCGTATTGGCTTCTTCGCTTTCGGCATAATTTTTTCTCATTACTTCAATAATTATTTATAATCGTTTTATTACTACTTTTTCTCTTCTAATTCCATATTTTTTAATAATTAGTTTATCATAACCACATTAATAAGATAATAACCTCAAAATGTCAACGTCAACTTGAACATAACCTCACTTTATATTATAAATATTTTAATTAAAATTATTATTAATTACAAATAAATTAAAAATAAACAATTTTGTCCACGACTACCTTATAATATATACCTTATGAATAAGTTTTCATTATTCGCGGGCATTCACGGGTAACCAACTTGACAGACTAATAATAATTATTTGAAACGTTAAAATTTCAAAAAACTTCAATTTAATTCAATTTTTTAGGAGTTTCTAACAGTTTGACATTAAAAAAACCTAAACAAATTCCTTTTTTCGTATGATTTAAGCATAAATTAATTAATTTTCGTAAAAAAAACGACGTTTTATAAAATTGACATTTAATTTTGACATATTGTTGTGAAGTTGGCTACAGTTAGTAACATTGAATTTGTCACATTTGACGTTTAAACTTTATTCAAAAATATATTTAAAAAATAAATTTATAGAATTCTACTCACATATAATGAAGTATTATTCACTCAGGTTAATTATGCCACTCGCTACTAAGAATTGCAATCCCTGGGTGGTTCAAATTCGATGTCCGAATATGGGGTTAGATAGGTCTATTTCTTATTGTTTTAGAATAAAGCTAAAAATAAGCTTTTTTTTGAGGTCGTCAAAGAAATTAAATTTACAGTATCCTGTAAATTACGGTACTATAACTAAAAATTATTCTACTAAAAATTTATATAAAATTTACTTCATTTTCTAATATGTAACATTCTAATATGTTAAACTTTTCGTAATCCATCTTAAAAAATATAAAATTTACTTTACTTTCTAATATGTAACATTCTAACATGTTAAACTTTTCGTAATTTTCGTAATCCATCTTAAAAAACAGGATTTTTAATTTAACACTTCAGAAAAATTTTGAATACAAACAAATGTTGCTATGTTTATTTGAATTAAAAAAAAATAAAAAAATATAAAAAAAATATATTATGAGCACCATCTATCAATAATTAATTAAGTTATTTAATAATAATATTAAATATTAATAAAAAATGTGAAATAAATACAATCTATTCCAACTTTTGTGTAAAACAAATATAATTATGAAATAGTTCAACAAATGTATTTGTTTCAAATATCAGAAATATGTTTTTTTAATTTTTAGCTATAATTTACAGGAAACTGTAAATTTAATTTCTTTGACGACACTAAAAGTTTATTTTTAGCTTTATTCTAAAACAATAAGAAATAGACCTGTCGAACCCTATATTTTTGTAATCAGAAAAGAATAACGAATTTAATAAACGAATAATCAGTGGTTGTTTCCATTTAAAAAAATGAAAATTGTCATAATATCGCAAAATCTAAAACTGCGTTATCAAATTCTCTGTAAATAAGTGTCCATATAATGTCTTAGTTATAGTACTCCACCTATAATAATAACCAAGATAATTGCACTTGCTGACTTTACCATATTTTCAATTTTGGCCTGGTTTTTGACATTTAGTAGTTTCTCGAAAAACAAGATCATGACATGTAAGCTACTTTTTTTCTAACTCTTACAGTTTCCAAGATAGCCTATTCGGACATCGAATTTGAACCACCTGTACAACTTAGTATAGAGATAAGTTACGTTAAATCAATGTCCCAGCTCTGTGTCGGTTCTGATGTGAATCACCCTGTATATAATTTCGCTGAAATATCCTGATATTTTTTATTAAATTGGAATTTAGTGACTTATCATCAATATTGGCTTCTTTGCTTTCCGTATAATTTTTTCTCATTTCAATGATAATTTATAATCATTACTACTAATTACTACATTTATAATCATTACTACTTTTTCTCTTTTAATTCCACATTTTTTAATAATTAGTTTATTATAACCTCAAAATGTAAACGTCAAAAACATAACCTCACTTTATGTTTTGAATTTATCTTAATTATGATTATTATTAATTACAAATAAATTTAAATTAAAAATAAACAATTTTAACAAACACAACGTTTTATTATTTCACGACACAACAAAATATGTAATTTCCTAGAATTTTCCTGATTTTTTTATTAAATTGGAATTTAGTGACTCATCATCAATATTGATTACTTCGCTTTCCATATAATTTTTCCTCATTACTTCAATAATTATTTATAATCGTTTCATTACTACTTTTTCTCTTCTAATTCCATATTTTTTAACAATTAATTTATTATAATCTCAAAATGTCAACGTCAAAAACATAACCTCATTCATTTGAATTTATTTTAATAAAATTTTAATTAAGATTATTATTAATTAGAGAGAAAATTGAATTAAAAACAAACAATTTTAACAGACACATTGTTTTATTATTTCACACAATAACAAAATATGTAATTTCCTATAAATAATACTAAAAATTAAAGTATTACGTTCGTTTCTAATCTATACTTTAGAAGACGGAGGTCTTTCTTTTGCTGTTTGATTTATTTTGGGTGGATTTGGTAAAGTATCACCGGCTTCTTTTCTAACTGATTCTTCAAATTCCGCTGGTTCAATTAGCCTCTTCTTCCCGTGAGGGGGTGGGCCAATAAGAGCTTCAACATCATCATAGTTCAACGTTTCTTTTTTTAAGAGTTCTTCAGCTAACTAAAATAACAAAAAAAATCAATGATTATTTAATTTAAATACGATTATATTGTTTATTTACCAATTCTAATTTATCTCTATGTTGTAAAAGAACTTGTTCGGTTCGTTTATAAGCTCTTGTAACTAATTTTTGTACTTCTTCATCAATAACAGCACTTAATCTTTTACTGAACGGTTTTCGACCTTTCTCTTTTATTTCTCTATCTGGGAAACAAACCAAACCAACCACACTATTCATACCGAATTCTCTCACTTGGGCGTACGCCATTTTTGTGACTTTTTCTAAATCGTTTTGGGCGCCAGTTGTGATTCGGTTAAATGTTAATGATTCTGCTACTCTTCCTCCTAATGTCATACACATTTTTTCGAATAACTACAAAACAATAAAAAATACCATGAAATAGAATAAAATGGAATAATTTTTACTTCTTCCGTGCTATGAAGCCTTTGATCTCTCGGTATATATTGAGCAAACCCTAAAGCTAAATTAGTTCTTGGTACAATAGTAACTTTAAGTAACGCATCGGTGTGCTTTAACATCCATCCAACTAAAGCATGTCCCGATTCGTGATAAGCGACGATTCGTTTAGTTTCGGGAGTCATCGCGTGACTTCGCTTTTCAGTTCCACCTTTAAATAAAACATTATTAAAATAAATTAATTTTTTTGGACTAATAAATTAATTACCAACAACTCTTTCAACGGCATATTCTAAATCGTCCTTACAGACTTTTTTCTTTTTACATCGAGCGGCGTGTAAAGCAGCTTCGTTACAAATATTTGCGATATCAGCACCGCTAAAACCTGGTGTAAGAAACGCTAAAGGTCTGGAATAAGATGGTGGGGGTTGTTCTAAAACGATGCTTTTTAAATGTTGTTCAAAAATTTGTTTTCTTTCGTCTAAATCGGGGAGATCGATTAAAATGTGTCTGTCAAACCTTCCAGGTCTTAATAAGGCTTTATCTAAAATATCGGCTCTATTTGTTGAAGCTAACATTATAATATTTTCCCTCGTAGACATCCCATCCATTTCAACTAACAATTGATTCAACGTTTGTTCACTTTCCCCGGTTGATCCGGTAGCTCCAGCTAATTCCCCACTTCTTTTTCGTCCAATCGCGTCAATTTCATCGATATAAATGATACAAGGACAACGCTTTTTCGCTTCTTTAAAAAGATCTCGTACTCTCGCAGCTCCTAATCCCCCAATCATTTCAATAAATTCTGATCCATTCATTGATAAAAACGGTACATTAGCTTCCGTAGCCACAGCTTTTGCTAAAAGCGTTTTTCCACAACCGGGAGGTCCTAATAAAAGAGCTCCTTTTGGTACTTTCGCCCCTAAACTTTTATAATGTTCGGGTCGTTTCAAATAATCAACAAACTCCATTACTTCTTGTTTAGCTTCGCGAAGACCAGCAACATCGGCGAATTTTACACCTTTTCCTGTTCCAATTAGAGGATCAACCAAGGTAAATTTAGCTTTCCCCATTTGCGTCTATAATTATTAATTATTTTAATATTGAAACATAAAAAAAAAAGATTTAAAAGCTTACAAACCCATCCATACTAATTGTTGTTCTGATATTTCTACTTCTCGCTATGATCGAAAGTAATAAACCTACGATGAATAATGATAAAACTAATTTCCCCGCTGAATCTCCACCACGTTCATAAACTACCGGAACACCATCTGTGATTCCTAATCTTCGTTCGGCTTCCCGTAGTTTATCTTCAAATTTTTGGATATCCACTACGTTCATGTGGTAAGTTTTATGATCAGCCTATAAATGATTTTTTTTAAAACCCGATACTTTCTAGTTCTAGGTCTAGTATAAGTTATAGTTCTAGTGATAGTACTAGTGTAACACTAGAACTAACACTAGACCTAGAACTAGAATCGTTCGGGTTTAGCCGTCTTGAGAGACGTGTGGCTAAATCCGAATGTTGTCGAACTGTCTAGTGTCAGTTAAAGCGGCCTTCACACGATCAGTATACATACATTGTCAGTATCTGAGTATTGACAATAATAATAACTCTTTATTGGCGACATACAATAGTATTTGCGCAAGTCAAAGAAGCGTATAATACATAAAAAATAAAATAATGAAAAAATGCATGTAACGAATGTATTATCCAATAATAGCTACACAAGCTTTTTGAAGGTATGACATCTTTGACTGCCAGCGCAAAACACAACACTAAGACCCACTTTTACCACCTCCTGATAAATTTATCCGATAGATAAATCCAGTTCTTAGCCAATGAGAGCGCTTAAAACCGGCGTAACCATGGCAACTATCCTCTAGATAGGTTATCAGGAGGATGGTAAAAGTGGGCCTTAGTAGATCGCCAATAAATATTGATAGTCTGAAGCAACTACAGTTTGTCAATGTTTATTGGCCATATTGACAATATACAGTTTGTCCCAGGATAGATGTTACAAGAGGTATAATGAGTTAAAAAATTTTGAATTTTATTTTAAGGCTGTGGAATTATGCCCTGCTTGGTGTGGGTTTAAGTATATTATCATATTTTGAAAATCAACTCGGCCTTGATAGTGAAGCGAAAACTATTTTGAGTTCAGGTAAAGTAACCTTTTTGTTCATGATATGGCAAAATATCATTAAGAAAAGTTGTTCAGAATGAGAAATTATGGCAAAATTTCAGAAAGACCTACCTACATTGATTAAACCACCATATTATAGATTAGATCAGAGTGAAGAAAAAAAGACAATGAAAAATGCCATAAAAAAAATGATTTAAGTAGTCGCAAATATTGACAAATAAATAGTATTATTCCTCAGTTTTAGTTCACATTTCAGTTACTATACAGGTGTCCCGTTAAGCGTACGGAGCGGCTGTATATCGACAACGGTAAGGTCTACAGGTTTGGGAAAAAAATCTTTATAAGCAAAGTGACCAAGAGAAATACCTGGAAATTATTTTGGAGTTCGTAATTCGACCGCTAGGGGGCGTAACTGCCATTGAGAAACATAAAGTTCCCGCTATCTCAGAAACTTAGACGATGAGCTATAATTTTGACAACATGATTTAATAGCTTGGATAATACCGCATCGCTTTTGTTTTGCGATATTTCTCATATCTGTCATAATAAGGGAGGGGGAGGCCAATGCGTTTTCATATGTTTACATTTTAATATCTCCTGGACCATTCAACCGATTTGAATATTTTTGGTGTTGTTTGAAAGAGCATTTTATGCTCTTTTTAAAGATATTTTCAATAAGACCGTTTGCTTTAAAACAAATAAGCCAGAGGGCGTTATCTGCAGCGATTACATATTTTTGAAGAAAAGTTAAATGGAACGATACTATTTACTTCACAGATTCTTAGTCACCTTAAAATTTGCTAAATTTTAGTGAAAACCGCATCACGATATCGCAACCCGTTCTCGAATTATAGAAGAAAAAATCTTAATTTACAACTAATTTATGGTTTTCTTCAAAATATTGTTCAAAAGTGTAACAGTTTATCACCTTATTATTAAGGAAAGGGGTTATCTATCATACCCCGTAACTTTGCAGGGGATGGTCAGAGGCAAATAAGAAAAAAGACGTCATTAATATTTTTAAACGTACTATAAGGATACATAATATCGCTAATATCGACAGGGTAGTTTTTAAAATATTCCAAAAAAGTAGGGGTAGTTTACCTCCTGAAGCCCTCAGATATATGTGTGGTATATCAATGGAAAGCTCTTTGAAAATGAATATCAGTTTACATTTACTACATTTCGATAGCTATTTTCGCTTTCAACCTATAAGCGAATATATATATTTCGCCCCGATTTCCAACCCTTATAACTCGCCCCAGGGGCTTTATTAACACGTATAAAAAATCCGTAAAACTTATTTTTGGTCATACTATCGCTGTACCAAATTTCAACAAAATCGGTGAGAGACAGTTCTGATACTTCCCTTGTCAGTCAAAGCCGCCTTTGTTTTGAAAATATTCTTAATATTCTCTTCACACCTAGCAGGGCTTAATTCCTTAGCCTTAAAATAAAATTCCAACATTTTTAAGTCATTATACCTCTTGTAACATCTATCCTGGGACACACTGTATATTAATCATGTGAAGGCCGCTTAAAATGTATTCTTTCTTATCAATTAATACTATTCCTGCGTTTTTATCTCCAAGTATAATAATGTTAGTTAGTTAATAGTTTCTAATGGTTGTCATTTGGTTTTTGTGCGTTTTAAAGTTTTGACAGTTGGTGTTAAATCTTTTTTTATATTGAAAAAATCTTTATGTATACAGGGTGTATCTGAATGACTGCAACAAACTTCAAGGGGTTATTCTTTAGTGAATTTTAAGGGTACTTTGATATATGAACCATGGGCGACTTCGGCTCCCCTAAGGAGCTACACCCCTTCAAAAATGGCGGAAAATTTTGGTTTAATTTTTCTTTCTCAAAAACCATAAAAGCTAGGAAAATGAAATTTGGAGAATATGTTTAATTCATAATAGGGCACGTTTTGACCTTATTTGCACTTTCAACCTACCCTTCTAAACTACTAAACGTAATAGATGATAAATACATTAGAAAAATTTTACATAGATTGATGAAAGTATTCTAAAACTTTTTTGTCTCTCTGAAATTTTTCCAAAAATGACTAATTTTTGAGAAAAAAAATAATAAAGCAAACACTGCCCGTTAAACAACGGGGTTGTTGATCAAAAGTTGGAATGAATTTTTAATGAAAAAATCTTGGTAGGCTTTGCAATCTTTGTCAGAAATATTTTTGACGTTTAAATGTCAGTAAATGTCACTATTATTATTGTTTTTCAAATTAATTTTTAAATAAAGTTCTATCGCATTTACGCTCGTTCACTCGACGNTTTTAAGGAGTTGGTTTCTGGAGGCGGGGGGTTGAAGTGAGTGAGTCAATTTTTGCATAAAAAGTTGTCCCCCTTGGTTTTATTCTTTACCTATTTCAGCGATTTTCTTTTTAAACTTCCGGATTTACAGAAATTGAGGTGGAAAGTTTTGAAATGAACACTCTGTATATACTTTCTCACAACTGCGTTCACGATGTATAAACCAGTCTTTTGTTTTTCTTCGATCTTTTGTTTAGAGTTAATAATTAGATTGTTTAGTTTTATGTTACTTCTGTGAGCTAATTTTATATCATATCTTTGTAATAAATTTTTAATTTTATTAAACGAATTGTAATAGTTTATTGTTAGATATCGATGTATTATCGTCGTTCTTATACGCAGGATAGATGTATTTCATTACATTACGTTTCTGTATCTTGTTGTAAACGTTTTGTATAAATGCAACGCTGCAGTTATTATTAAGGCCCAGCTTTATTATGTATTTTATTTCTTTGTTGAAATCTTGTTCATTTGTAGGGGTATTGATGGCTCTGTCTATCATGTATCTAAAAATTGCCTCGTTATGATTCTAATGTAAGAGTTTTTCGAAATGATAACATTGGTTGTAATTGGTTTGTGGTAAACACTGAAATCTATCCTCTTAAAATCAACGTTCTTTTGTAAAACTAAGTCTAGAAAATGTATGACATTATTAGATTCTTTTTCGATTGTAAATTTTAATTCACCAATGTTGTTTAAAATACTATAAATACTATAAAAGCTACAATGTTTGAATTTGGGCCTTCATGGATTATTAAGATATCGTCAACGTAACGACTTGATATTATTAGTAAAAATGTTATATTTTTCTGAGAATTGTTTCTCCAATGAAACCCTGATAATAAAGAACACATGGGCAGACCATTGACCATTCTACAAGTTTTATTGTAAAATTTAAAAAGTGTCTTGTTCTGTAAGAAATTCTAGCTCTGAATATTTATTTAGGAGGAATTATTTAGTTAGATTTAATGTTTCTCTAATTGACACTTTTGTGTAGAGGTTTTTTTATGTCAAAGGATATTAATTGGGTTTTATTATTAATTTCAACATTTTTAATATGATTTATTGAATATTTTGATTCGAATTTGAATTTATTTTGAATTACATTGTGAATAACTTTTCTGATGTTTTATGTTGGTGTGTTATTAATGTTATTATTATTAATTATGGGTCTCATTGACCTGTCTGGTTTATGTAGTTTGATAAGACCCACAATCAAATTATTGCGATTGTGGGTTCATATTTATTTTGTTTACATTTATGTTAAACTTAGAAAGGATCTGTTTACAGTCTTTGATTATTTGTTTCGTTTTTCTATTAAAGCTATCAATAGGATTCTTGCTTATAATATTTATGTCATTTTCTTCAAAAAATTGTTCGGTTTTATTAATGTATTCTTTCTTATCAATTAATACTATTCCTTCGTTTTTATCCCCAAGTGTAATAATGACATTATTCGTTAACATTCTTTTTTTTAAGTTTTTAATGGTTGTTATTTGGCTTTTGTGCTTTTTGCCAACTGAGCAGTTTATATCTCTTTTTAAAGTTTTGAGAGTTGGTATTAAATCTTTTTTCATATTGAAAAAATCTTTATGTCTATACAATTGGCTTTCTAAATCTATAGCTAAATCTTCAACTTTGTATTTTTCATCAATAAATATAGGTATATTTGTGGCCAAGTCAAGTATTTCAATTTTTTTTTTCGTTTAAAGTAAGTAATATTTGTTACAGTGCGTGCTTAGTTGACGGTAAAAAAGAAAATCTATCATGTTTGTTAAATTTAGATTCCTTTTATAGCAACGAACCTGAAGACGGAAATAGTATTTTCCGAAACCGGTAGTTAAGAACAAATAAATTAATTGCTTCAGAACTTTTTGACCTTTTATTTTATTGCACTAACACTGTCTCTACAACTAACACAAGACGTGCGGCTAAATCCGAATGTTTCTAGGTATAGTGTTAGTTCTATATAATAACAGTGTTAGTGTAAAACTAGAACTAACACAAGGCCTACAACTAGAATCATTCGGGTTTAGCCGTCTTGAGAGACGTACTAAACCCAAATGATTCTAGTTCTTGGTCTAGCGCTACTTACCAATTAAAACTAGAACTAACACTAGACCTAGAACCAGAATCATTCGGGTTTAGCCGTCTTTTAGGACGTCAGGCTAAACCCAAATGATTCTAGTTCTAAGTATAGTGTTAGTTCTACATAGTAACAGTACTAGTGTAAAACTAGAACTAATACTAGATCTAGAACTAGAATCATTCGTCTTTAGCTGTCTTTAAAGATGTGAGGCTAAACCCAAATGATTCTAGTTGTAAGTGTAGTGTTTGATCTACATAGTAACAGTGCTGGTGTAAAACTAGAACTAACACTAGACCTAGAAAATATCTTTCTAGTTCTAGTGTTAGTTCTAGTTTTAATTATTATTCAGCGCTAGATTATTATATATTTTTATTGAATTAGTTGAAAGGTTAAATATACCTATTAAAAAAGTACATATATTAAATTATATAGTAGAACTAGAATCATTTAGGTTTAACTGTCTTAAGAGATATACAGCTAACTCCAAATGTTTCTAATTCTAGGTTTAATGTTAGTCCTACTTTTATTTCATTAAAAATAGACAATTTTTTTAATAAAAATTATTTTATTTATACAAACCTTTTTTCCTTTAATAACCGCTCCATCAAATAAAATAATAGTAACAATCTCCACATCAGGTCGGACGATGATTTCTTCAACTTCCCCCTTAGCCAACATTTGATATAAAAATTCATTCCACGAAACGTACCTCACAACCTATAATTAATTCTTTTAAAATCAATGTAATAAAATAATTTTAACATTTACTTCTGGTTGATTACTACTTGGAAACATTAACGATATAATAGCAATAACCATATAAGCTGATAACATCCAAAGAAATGCTTTGGCCAATAACGATGAAATTTTATTATCATCATCGTCATTATTATTTTCGTTTTTATCAGGTCGTTTTTTGGGATCAGTAGGACCAGTTGCGCTACTTCTATAAGTACTTTTATGAAACTGCCGTGTGTTTAGGTATCTTGGAAGTTTGGTTATGTCATCAAGACCGGATCGTTTTATAAGACTACAAACAGCATTGAATTCGTTATTTATAGTTTTTGTGATCTAAAAAATAAATTGTAGAGTAAACACAACATTTGGGGATGCGTAATAAATACTTTAGTATTGCTGCTTAAACATCTACAAATCCCTTTGGTTAAGATGGTCGTTGGAAGGGTGGTATTGGGAGATTTTTCTTGATTTTGCGCATTTCTTAGGAGATACCTAAGAGGCACTTTAACTTTACTTGCGTTTCTGTACATTATATTTTGAGAATTTCGTCATATTGACAAACAAAAATTTTTGGTTAGGATTTTGACGTTTCATGTCAAGGAAACTGCAATTTTATAAATTAAAATTAAAGCAACATTATTAAAAATTTATTTATTTATGATTAATTTACATAAAAATAATATAATTAATTTAAAATTGCATAAAAAGTTAATAATTAAAATAGTGATTAAATAATCGTGTTTAATTGGGGTATTGTAATATAGATGGCGCGTTTGGTGCGTATTAAAAGTTGAGAAATTTTTGAATTCTGTAACGGGCATGTGGTTCGACTGCATTTTTTTCGTTATAAAAACAGGGGGATTGACCAAATCCTGTTTTCTAACACAACATTGCTCACGTAGAATCGAAGCGAAGATGAGAAAATAACGAAACAATCTACATATACTTGGAATATTGAAAATTTAAGCAAAGAAGATATCCTATTTTACACCGTTTTAGGTAACATAACCTTTTATGTAATCTTTTTTAAGTAATTGATTAAATTAGCATAAAAAAGACATTTAATTCAAAAAGAGCAACGTATATCATGCGCATTTTTAATTTGGCGATGGTTGCTTAGCAACTCTATATGGAAATTCATTTAGACTGTGCCAAGTTAATATTATGAATAAATTATGGCTAAAAAAATAAATAATTTTATATAATTAAACGGATTTAATTGTGAGAAAGTGTATCAGGTTATATAATAGTTGAGTGTGGGTCATATCCGTTAATTGTAAATCTTTAAGAAATCCTTTAAATTAAATTAAAATCGCCACTCCATCTAGCGGTGGCAACCATATTTAATTTTTCTTTTTGACGTTTTAAAGTCAGCCATTTCTTCCTAAATTAACTAATTTTAATCATTTTTTATAACTATTTCCAGCAATACACTTTAGAGAACTTATACTGTGATGTCTCCATACCTAACGTTGAATCTTTTGTTACAACCACATTCAGGGGGCTCGCTTTCAATTCCCATCATTAACATAGCGCTAGGTATGTATACTATAGTGGTACATATAGCCAGAGAAAAATGGATTTAAAGTCTATTTATAAAAGTGCAATGATGAATGCAGTGAATTCTCAACATCTGCCTAATGGCTCGAAAAGGAATCAGAAAGAACGGGATTCGACGGACTTCACACAAGAGCAAGGACATCACTTCCAACAACCAGTTGGCTGCCTACCTGTATACTTGTAAGCTACCATAAACTTATCTATTAGCGATCTATACAAAGGATAATTCCTAATTAGTCAATACATGTTATTACAAAATTAGTTTAGTAACGACAATTAGAAATGTTAAGCACTGTGTATAAACAAATTTTAGTCATCATATTCATATACCGTAGTGTGATAATATAACACAACGTTCTCATTAGCACATTTCTAGTATATCCATTTTGTGCACTACATTCTTAATACACTGCTAAACCTAAATGTTTCTAGGTGTAGTATTAATTCTAGTTTTATTCAGCTTTAGATTGTGGTATATTTTTATTGAACGAAAAGTAGAACTAACACTAGACCTAGAACCAGAACCATTCGGGTTTAGATATGCGTCTCTTAAGTCTGAGGACGCACGGCTAAACCCAAAACTTTCTAGTTGTAGGTCTAGGTGTTAGTTATAGTTTTGTACTGTCAGTATCACTAAAACTAACACAAGACCTAGAACTAGAATTATTCGGGTTTAGTCGTCTTGAGAGACGTGCGGCTAAATTCGAATGTTCTAGATCTAGGTCTAGTGTTAGTTCTAGTTTTGCACTTAACACAACACCTAGAACTAGAATAATACGGGTTTAGCCCTCTTGAAAGATGTGCGGCTAAATCCGAATGTTTTTCCAACTATTATTACTGCATTCATATATTGTAAGTTATATGAAATTCCCGGTATGTTGCTTGATTTGATCCTGTAAATCTAAATAACTTAAAGAGATACAAAGTTAATATTGGCAAAAAAATTTATAAATTAAAATTTACATATTAATAAAATTCAATATAATATTTCAGGTAGAAAATCGTACAATGCTATCCTACTTATAACTTTAGGAAGTGGACACAATGGTGCAACGCGTGACCACCGAGGGGAGCATCGACTGATACGTTGAGAGAGGGTTGTCGGAGGGTGACGTGCGAGGGGGAAATGCTGAAATAATATTGACGCAGGCTGTCGCTGCGGTCGCGCGAAGTAGAACACATAGGGGCCCCTCACTGCTACCGTGCCGCCGTCGCGCCGCTAGCTCTGCCCCGGCATTGTTGCCTCTTCGTCCTCATTGGCCGAACACGGCCATATTGGCGGATTCTTGGCGTTCCCCGTTGTCGTCCCTCTGTCTACCTTTCTACTCTACCATCCTATTGCACCTGACGCGTGGCCCTCCGTACCCCACCAGAACCTTTCAAACGACCATGGACTACCGTCACGACCGTTTACCTAGGTGTCATTATTCATTAAGCCCTCATTATCGAGCTTCGTTCTTCACATTTCTGTATGACTTTATTATTAATGGATTAAGCGATTCGAAAGGATTTCAGGGAAAAGGTAAAGATTTCAGTGGTATTTTAATGAAAATCTTAACAATCAAAACAACTGTTAAATTAACACGATATAATCGATAAAATTATAGTTATAAATGAAAATATGGTATCTTAACTTTTTTAGTTAAACTAATTATTACTATGATACATAATTTGCCTACTAGAATTGAATCGCTCGTTAGTTAAACATACACCAAGAAAACTACAAAGCATACTAATGATGTTTGATTTGCTATTTTAAAATCTAAGTAAGTACTTATGCATAATCTATAAGCTGATATTTATAATATTTCCAAATCTAGTTCGCATATGAAAGATCAAAGTAATTGATTTAATAAATTAAGACCATGTTAAAATACAGCTACTTATTCTGCGAATTGATCGTGACTCGTGTTTAATATACTTCACCATATATTTTCTTGCGGAAAGATACATGACACAATCAAAGAAATGAGATAGCCTCACCGTCAACAAATTGAAATTGACGATCATACCATTTAGTAGAGAGGAGGCCAGAGTAATTCATAATACTAAATAATACATACTACATAATATTATATAACTATATGCTAAAGTAATGATGGAGTAGTTAAAACGAAGCAAACATAAATATTGTGCAGGTATTTGCTCCGCCATGTGACTGCTGACTAAAAATTGGAGAATTTTTACCATCAAATAGAAGAGGAGACTGATAGAGAAAATCGAATAGACGCTAAGATCAGCAAAGGAAGAAAGGATCCCGTTATTGCTGAATTTAGAGTGAGTGTCAAAAATGAGAAAAATCTTATTATTCGTAATGTATTCTTTGATTTGCCTAAAAGAAGACTATAGACATGGACTTCTTCTGCATAAAGATGTCGCGATGTAAATCATGACGTATATATTGTTTTGAGAAAGCTGTCGATAAAGTTCAACATGATAAGATGCTACAAGTGCTAGAAGATACAGAAGTTAATGACAAAGAGATAAGAGTAATAACAAATTTATATTGGAACCAAACTTCAGAAGAAGTAGAAATCAAAAGAGGTTGCATTTTGTCACCATTGATCTTCTATCTTTTACGATGAGGTTAATGAATGGGAAAATCGTAAATCAAATTCGTTATGCAGATGATACCTTGGTCTTTATTAGTTTGGAAATGCAACTACAGAACCGTCCAATAATTTATTAATAATTTTGGAGTTCATTACTCCAAAAATTACTATCTGACACTGAACACCAGCAAAAATAAATACATATATGATTATAAGGAAAAGTAATAACAATCAGAATCATGGATTTACGTAAACGGCATCTAACTCCAACGAATAAACAGAATATAATCTGTGAGGAAATTAAGAGTCGAATAATCAAAACACGAACAACGTTAATAAAAGTGAGGCAAATCTTTCATATACACGACATAAACAACGATTTAAAAATGCTAAGATGCTATATTTTCCCTGTACGAGGTTGAATTCTGGACATTAACGGACCCCTATTGAAATGAATTTGAGATGTGGAAGGATTTTTAAGAAGGCTGGATAAATAGATTTATAACATTACTATATCATTAAAATTGCAATTAAAATCACACTCACGGTTTCGATTACAAATAGACATTTAGCTCTTTATGTAAGATATTGATTCTGGAGTTCTAGGGCAATACTCTATAATATGTTTCACGGTTTGATTTTCACCGCATTCGCAGTAGGGCGTCAATGTCTTACACCATTTTTGCAGAAAGTAAGCGCATCAACATTTCTATGTCCGTATTCTGTTTGGCTTTTCGGTAATACATGAGATCTGATTGTTCTGATTTGTAACCCATTATTGATGCCAAACGTTAGTCCGGCTGAGTATTTCATCTATGGCAGGGGCTGTTGTTTTGGGTGAGGTTGGCGCCAATCTCCCCATGTATTGGTAGGTTTTGGTTGCTTAAGATCTTTTTGTAGTTTCTCATGAGAGCATTTATATGGCGCAAGTTTGGAAACGGTGTATAGAGCTATTGCAGTGGAGTAGATTTGATAATCTTTGCGATCATTTCCATTGTGGCATTGAGCTGAACATCGATTCTGTGTGTCTGGAGGACTGTAAAGCTATATTGGTGCACAGTATTTAGCGGTTCAGAAGACAAGGATCAGGAGTATTGAGAACAGGGTGAAGACCGATGCTCCCTTTCATGATCCATAGATCATATAGTATTGTATAATATTGTTCTTTGATTTTAGATTCTCCGCTGTTTTGATTACAAGTTCTTCGAATGAGAGCATTCTATCACTTAAGTATTTTGGTGGTTTCGTGTTCTCGACATGTTATCTCAGCTTTTCCGGGTAGATAGAATCACGAATGAAGCAGTTTTACGGTGATTTAGAAAATCAACCGAATAGAGTATAGACGAATAACATAAAGCGCCGAAAGCTCAAATGCTATCTAGTCCATACTGGCTAAAAAAAATCTTAGAGCGTGATTTGAGCCGTCAGCACATCGTACTGCCGTAATAAAAGTAATCCGAAGATCATAGTCAACGATCGAAACGATCATGAC